TCTAGTAGTATCAAGACACTATCAGCGGAAATGAATGCTGATGCCCTACTTTAACCTATGAACCTACTTCTAAAAGCAGTGAGTCACATGTCCCTTTGACTTTGATCAATGCTATCATGTCTCCAATATCTGTAGCTGAACAGAGGCATAAAGAAGTAGAAGTAGCAGGTGAAGATTTTCCACTTTGGAATTTCCAGTTTCTCTCATCAAAATCTATCGGAAAAAAATATCTGTTTTAAAACAGCCAATATCAAGCTCACAGCAGTTTTGACCACCATGGAGTCCTATGCGGTTTTTTAGTCATTGCCAGACTTAAATAACCTTCGAGTTGATTTGACTTAACCAAAAAAAATGAGTAGTTCCCACCAATGTGTTCAAACTGGTCTTGGAGTCTTGTCACCCATGTAAAACTAGTCCCATGTGAGTGAGGCCAGGGACAGTCTTCAATTTATCGTTGCTAATTTTAATACCAGTAACATCAGCCTTACGTTCACATTGATGTATGTTTTTACCGTTCTGTTGTAAAAAAAAAAAAAATCAAAGAATACACACTTTGATTTTAATTTACCATGTTGTACAAAATCATATGATTGTCTCAGTTAATGACTATGAAGATGTGTTTCACACAGAATAAGATTTTTAGACACTTTCTCTCGACCCAGTTTAGCCCAATTAACTTTTCTGTCTGCATGCAGAAAAGGTCGAGCTCCAAATCTCAGGTCGGGGTAGTTCTCATAGGCTTTCTGAAAACACAAAGATCTTGAAACATAGCCAATTAATACATGGGTTGTGGAGAAGGTTGGATTTGAACAAAATTTGTGTATGTCAGGAAACACCAGTCAGTTTTTTTAATGAGCCCCACAGCAATAAAAATGCTACAGCACTGTCTGAGGTACAACCCATTTCCACATAACGTCAAGGGGAGCAGACTGTTGAAGAGGGTTAGTGAAAATTGACTTTTTGTTCAACTGTGGGTAAAAAAAAAAAAAAAAAGTTGGGGTGTTGCATTAAAAAAAGTTAAACATTTCTAGGACAGGGTCAACTTCAGACAAGTCCTTCAACTCTATTTCATTGATATACTTTCCCTCTGAAGAGCTATCCTGTTTTCGAGAAAGATTTTAAACTGATGACAATGGTGGTAATTTGCATGGCTTGCAAAAGGAGATAAAAAAATGCCAATTCTCATAAAGACCTTTTTAAAAGAGATCTGAACATTAGGTTAATCAATGTCTGGGTCGAAGTACAGCCACCCAACACTAGCCGGGGTTGTAGCTCTGGTTTCCACCACCCAGATGTAAATGGGCTTAGATGACAGACAGCATCTCAGAGTGCAGTTTTGCTGTAAATACGGGCTTTTTTGAATGAGTGGTTTCCAGTGCTTCAGCAGCCAGCCTGAAGTGGACACTTGAGGAACTGCAGTTTTTAGCACTTCTGCATTGGCTTCATTTCTCAAGATCAGAGTTTGCCACTTGGAGTCAACCAGCAAGGAGGACTAAAAGCGTCTGTGTGCTTGATTTGAACAGTTTCTGAGAGTTTTTTGCCTTTTAGATGAGTCGATGAGTGGGATCTTGAATGTATGTTAAAGGGTTTCTTTGAAACATACTTACTGATGATAGTCGTTAATGTTTGAACCAGTGAGGTTTGATTTGGATTCTGAAAAACAAAGTCAAACGGATGAATACTTTAGAGTATGCGAAGTGTTTGCTCTTGTGCCTCTGCAACACTAATGCAATGTGAAATCGCACGCTGTGACACCAAAATTACACTGTTGAGGATCAATATGAAAGTTCAAAGGCGTGATGACAGCAGAGCTATATTACAACTCTGCAGCAGGCTTGTAATTTTACCATCCTATAGGCACAATTTAGATGAATTAAATTTAAAACTGTTCTTTACAAAATCAATTTCTCAAAGAAATCACTCTGTGTAAAATGCATAAACTGCATGACAGGATGCATTAGATGCCCCTGTTTGGTACATATTGAATGTTAAGAACTATTTAGACCAGTTAAAGTACAATTACGAGAGTTTCTTCTAAAACTTCTTATTTTTCAGGCTATTAAGTGCTCCCCTCTGCCTGTTAATCTTATTCTTATATACACTATGTAAATGTTTAACATGCACTGCAACCCTGACCTCAACCTTACATGGCCTGCAGGAGCTTTGTGTGAGAATATAAATGTGCTCATCAATTTAACCGGGTTTTGACCAGACCATACAGCATCTCAGTACAAAATCTGTGTCATGTCGATTTAGTCCTCGTATGTACACAACAGGTCATTGTCAGGTGAATTCATAGGACAACATGTGAGAGTGTTGATGACCACATGGAGAGAAGCACGTCTGTGTTTACATTTTGAGAAAATCAAATCATAAATACTCATCAATACAGTGTCAGAGTTTGTCCAGATACTGATGTAGGAAGGGTCTTACATAGCATCCAAAAACAAAAACATTCCTCTGATTGTTTCGCTTTCCACCAGTGGGTGTCAAAATTAGACATCAATCTTTCCTTTAGACAGCGTGACACAGAAGCAGATTGTAAGTGAAAGAACAAAAAATGAAAACCCAGGGCCTGAGTGCACAAATCTACAAGATGAACTACAGCTCCTGGTATATTTTTTCCCCTCCTTGAAGTACAACATTGCACCAGTGCTGTCCTGATACCAAGTCTCCTTTTAACAATTTATCCACTTCACTCCTTGCAGAGTGAATTTACTGTCCCTGTGCACCCCCCTGTGTGTGATGACTGGGTAGGTGGTCTTGAAATTAATTTGAACACCGCAGCTTTCATCCCTTCTGCTCCTCGCTCCTGACTGTCTCTTCCTCCTGCTGCTTCAGAGGGTTAAATGGTTTTAAGAGATTGCTGGCAGTGGCAGTAAAGCATGCTGACAATGGGAGGCAGGCATGTGGGCTTACATGACAGGGGAAAGGCAGGCCCATTGCTTTGCTAAGGTTGATGTGGTGCAGCTGTTCATAAAACAGATGAGAAGTCTCCAGACATGATCAAATCCCGTTGAATTAACGCAACATTTCCTGCTGAGAAAGGATCAGGCTGCAGCTATAGAACCACCACCAACAGTTTGTCATAGCTCAACATAGTCTCCTGTTATACAGCCTTATCAAAGTTTATTCTTTAAACATATCCGGCCATAGACTCCAGTTATGTCATCTTCCTTTCCCTTTTTTAGTATCTTATCAGGAGCTGATACCCACTGAAGAGAGGCTGTATGCCAGTAAATGCCTCCTTACTTTTATTTCCTCCAAGATCCTGGAGCACAGTTATGAAATTTTGGTTGGCTTGCACAATAATTCATCTAAAGCATTTTCTGCTTTAAATTAGAGTTGAGGAAGTAGGAATTATTAGTGTTTGAGGAACAACAAACTATTCATCTTTTTTATCGGAAAGTTGAAACTTAGCTATTCTGTAAATTCTCATTTGCACTATGTGTCAAGCACTCTATCCCTTCTTACATATTTATGTCTACTTTTACTATGTTTTTTGTGCTTTGTTATACTTTAGCTGTTTTTCTGTTTTGGACTTTGGATGTTCTGCCTGCCCCCTGGATTTGTTTGACTTTTACCTGGCTGAACTGTAAGCCCTTTTCTCTGCAGCATTTTTCTAAATTAGCTGTTGAACAGCATCTACTGTGAACTTCAGACATGCCCGAAGTATTAGGTCCAGAAAAAAAATACAAACACTGTTTTTGTCACTTTCATTTTCACCTTTATTTTGATTTAGGTGAGCAAGGAGAGCTGTCTGTAAAATAGTTGCTTTTGTGCTTTTGAAATGACACGAACAGAGGATAGTTTTGTGTTACAGATGCAGGAACAGAAAACAGTAAACAGGTACACAGCAAAGAAAACAAAGCAGCCACACTCCACACAACTTCATCAGAGTCGTTAACTTACCCACTGATTTCCTTTGAGTTTTCCCGGTAATGAGTCACTTTGTTCCCACACCTGATTAATTACATGGACTTTGTAAAAAGAGGGTAGCAGGGTGAAGTCCCTTTATGACAGGTGTGATTATAATACATTCACATCCGGTCATACATTCACTTACTTTCTGGACAAATGCAGGGTTTATACAGGTTATTTTAGGTCCTACACATAAAGAACACAACACATTGATTTTTCTCCACACACTTAATCTCACTTGTAAAACAGAACAACCTGAAATAAAACACAGCCTGTGTCGTTATCCTACATCTACTTCTGACATCATCTATTTGCACTCATGTCACACTTTTGGAGTTTTGCAGCAGATAAGATGTGACACTGAGACGTGTTTCTCCAAAATATTCCTTCTGTCATGTCAGTTGTCAACCACCAAAGCGAGGAAGGGTGAAGTGAATATATTACTGTTTGATATTCGGAAACACTCCATACTCACGTAATGAGCTAGAAAGATGCTTTTGACTGACTTTTTTGGGTTGAGGTTCAAAAGTTTAGTCTTTCTTTTGTCATTTTATAACAATATGAATCTTTGCGGTGGTCTCACACCCCCAGGGAGGACAAATAAAAGAAATTCTGGACAATATTCAACCATTGCAAAAGCACGTTTTATGCGACAAAATACATATGTGGGACTTGAAGATGTTCTTTTTGAAGAAGCAGCACCATAAAAAAATGTAATGATGTGAGAATAATTGTGCAGTTGAAGCACCTTTCACTGTTAATTCATCCCTGTATCACCCACTCACTACAGAATTCAAGTACAAAAGTTTATATTTCACTGTTTTTGTTCTGTAGAATGTGAACAAAACAATCTTAACAATTTTAATCTCTGTCAGAAATTTAAAAAAAAATGCGAAAAAGAAACTTCAGTTCGGCTCTTTGAAGTCTGAGACATTACAACACAAGAAATCTGATTGGCTGATAAAAAGGGATGTGACAAAGTTATAAAGAGCAGGCTTAGCACCAGTAGAAGACAAGCACATACAGCAATCCCTTTATCACAGCTACTACTACTATTACTACTACAGCAGTACAACAGAATGGATACTTACAACAGAGAAACACTGCTGGCAGACTTTGATACGTTCAATATTTCTGAGGAACTTGGATTTCTGCTTGAAGAGCCTCTGGTAAGTTTCCTTGTCCTCTTTGCTTGAATCTCTTTTGGAATTTTTGAGTATAAATATCATATTAAGGACGTCTTATCTATTTCCAAATACTGCTAAACAAACAGAACACCATGGACTTTTTAAATAAAGTCTCTGAAGAATTAAACATCAGTGTTAAACACAGCCCACTCATCTGTTTATACAGTGATTTCTCTTAAGGACATTCCCCGTTTTCTGCTTGGGCAATTTTCTCAGTTTCCGTCTGCCTCCTCTTTAAATTGCTTTCTGTCTGTGATTGATAGCTGCAGTCATTCCCTGACATGCAGGTCAGGCACCACGGTAAACATGAGCTGATGATGTTACTGATGACACTCTACTTGAAAATCCCCCATGCGAAATAAACACATAAATAAAAAAATAAACAAGAAGGTAATTTTTATTCTTATTATTCATCAGACTCAACTTCCAGACTATTATCGTCTATGGATGGACCTGGCGAGTAATCTCAATCATCTGATAGAGACTCGTAAACTACAGGATCTGGTTCATAAGGTAGGGATGAGCATATAGGAGCTCCTTTCACATAAATGTGGACATGACAGAATATATATAACCAGAAAAATCTCATCTCCAGATGCCAGTTTTGAGTACTCATCTCCTGATGGACCATCGGGAGCTTAGGTTGGCTCATCTAGCTCTAGGATTCATCAGCATGGGATATGTCTGGCAGGAGGGACAACATGCACCTGCAGAGGTAAAAAAAAACGACAACTGTGCACTGGAAAATGGGGCTATGGCAAAAACAATTCAGTCAGTGGTGGATTGACAATCTGGGAAAAAACATTTGACCATGAGTGAAGCTATTTTGGTAACTCTGTGATGCTTTAATGTTACAAGCTACACACTAATGTAAACTTGCTAAAATGCTGATGTTGCTTGCTGCCAATTTCTGATTCATTAATTGAAAAAAGAATGAAAATATTTATTCGCCTTAAAGTTATGACTAAGATGTATGTGTAATCAATAGCTAAGACAAAGTCATTATGTTCATTTGTGTCATTCTGGGTTACAAAGTAAGAAAAGACTAATGTTGTTAAAACGTGATTTCTAGTCTCACCCTTATAAAAAAGAATGGAGGTTGTTAGGTCAAAGCTTATATTAGATTGGTGTAGTATTGGTGTCAGCAGATACCAAAACCCATGTATGTGCATTGGGACTCAAAAAGTTGGATTGGTGCTTCCCTACTTCAAGATGACATCTGTTACCTGTGCTTGTTTTCATCCGCGTAGTTGAGCTAAATTAAGAATAAGACATGCACATCCCTCAGTGGGTGCTGGATCCAAAATAATCAGGCACAGAGAAAAAAGACATAAGGGTATGCACACCAGCTCTTGTATTTAATTAAGTGATAATAACTAATTAATAATTAAAATGCTTTTAATTAATTTGACTGGTAATTTTTGTGCAAATAAGCCACGGTGGCAACATGAAATAGTTGTCTAGAATTAAGTTGAGCAGAGAAGCAGTTGCTAAAACAGATCAGCCAAAACAAACGGAAGTAGAAAGCATACATCTCTATGCACATAAGATTACATTTAGCTCACAGGATGTCTAAAAAAAAAAAACTGTGAACATATGGTGACTCTAGGAGGAAAGTTAGGGAATCCTCAATGTCAGCTGGAAGCTGAGAGGCGGGCTAACAGCCGTAATTGATACTGAAAATGTCAGTAAAGCAACACAACTGGATTTAAACGTAACCTCTGTGGTTGTCTGACAGATTCTTCCAAAAGCCCTGTCCTGGCCTTTTTGGCAGATATCCCGCAGGCTTGGCCTTCCACCCATCCTGACATATGCAGACTCAGTTTTAGCCAACTGGAAACTAAAAGACCCTTCTGGGTGAGTAAGGGGACTATGTTGTAGTTACTTCATGTTCTTCGTCCACAGACACTACAGGATTACACTGAGTAAGAAATCTCAATCTCTTTTGTCGCCAAAAACAATTCTAACTGTTTTCTTTATTTTGATTTCAGGGTAATGGAAATCAGGTGAGTAGAAGGGAAAGAAAAATAATTATTGTTTTTGCTCAACTTCACTTTTGACTGTTCTGTATGGACTCATTTAAAAAACAGGAACATGGACTTGATATTTTCCTTTCCTGGTGGGGAAAGTTGCCGAGGATTTTTCATCGTGTCACAGTTGGTTGAGATGGCTGCCAGTTCAGGCATAACGGTTAGTCCTGGCTGCGGTTACTCTTCCTCTTTTTTTGTATTAACTCTTTCCAACCTCAGCCTTATTTTTTTTGCATATCTACTTTCTCTTTCTGTTTCGATCCACATACTTTGACTGCATGTGTTCCTCATCATTTAATGTTGGTTTTTACAATTCTGAACTCTGTCCAGGGGGTTCTGGAAGTGATGCATGCAATGAAAATCTCAGACCTCATCGGCATTCAGAAAGGTCTCACAAAAGTGACTCAGTCTTTGAAGAAGATGAAGGAAACCTTCAAACTCATGCACAGTTAGTTTTGAATTAAAACTTGCCAATTTGAATTTAATCAATTTACATGCTGTGCAGTTTATTAAGGCAGAGAAATTCAAGGCAATTAGACTGACTCAATGTGTTCTCTTTGCAGATCATGTGGACCCAACTGTGTTTCATGGAAAATTAAGAATATTTCTTTCAGGGTGAGTTTCAGGGCTGGCACAATGTCCAATATATACAAATTCATCTTATCTGGTGTGGAAAACAGCATTTCAGGGCATCGAAGCACCTTTCTGTAACTACTCTGCTGTGTATACTGTTTTCTACTGACTATTAGTCGCACTTTTTTTTCATCGTTTGGCTGGGTTTGCGACTTATACTCAGATGCGACTTATTTATATTAAAATATGTAGTTTCACGTTTGTTATTTTTACACTGACAGCCACTAGAGGGCACTCTAGGCTGGTGTACCAGTATCTCCTACTTCTGTGCCACTGAGAATTTGAAATTGACGTTAACTCATATCTACTCAGATCGAGAGTTCGGTAGACTTGTTTTGTTATGTTTTTTATGCGATAGTTATCTGAATAACTGTTAATATGTTATATCATCGTGTTACGTTAGCATACTGCACACCTACTCAGCCTGTTTCGAGATGAAATGTCTGTTCTTGGTCTTGGATTTTGCAAATTGACTTTTATCGGTATATGATTTTTCTTCTTCATCATGCATTTTTTGGCTGGTGCGATTTACACTCCAGAGCGACTTATAGCCCGGAAAATACGACAGTTGTTTCTACTGCTGAACTGGAAGGATAGCTTATAAAATAGTGTTGTATTCTTCTAATCTCATGTGAATAGATGGTGTAAAGAACATGTATGTTTGATCTGCTTCAGGTGGCGAGATAACCCTTTGCTTCCAAGAGGGCTACTGTATGAAGGCGTGAGCGATGAGCCGATTTTTTTATCAGGCGGCAGTGCAGCCCAGAGTTCAGCCATCCAGTGTTTTGATACCTTGCTGTGCATCCAGCATGAGGATGAGACAGGTAAAGATGCATCTGCTTCAACCTTTGACCCTCCTGATGTTTCCCATGAATGAATCACTCTGTTTGTGCAGTCACTTGATTGCTTTGACAGAAAATGTTTCCAGGAAAGGTGGTTATTTGCTTCCTCTCTCTTCATTGATTCACCCAATCTAGGTGTCTTCCTGACACGCATGAGGGATTACATGCCTCCCGCCCACCGACATCTGATAGAAACCCTCTCTGTGGGTCCGTATCTGCGAGACTTCATCCAATCTCATCCCAGTTCTGACCTCTGTCAGGCCTACAAGTCCTGCGTCTCAGCGCTGGTGGATTTACGTAATTATCACCTCAATACTGTAACTAAATACATAATTGTGCCTGGAAATCGAGCTCGGGCTGTGGGCTGCCCGTTCAGAGGAGTGTGCAGTGCGCTGGACAAGACAGGGGCTGGTGGATCAGTCCTAATGGTCCTCCTTAAGACTGTTCGCAACAGCACCCAAAAAGGACTGGATATGAAGAAACCATCTGTGAGAGGTTGAAATGTGATCGCATACGTTGTACACAATATCCAGCAGACTTGCAGTGCTATGCTCTTGAGAGATGTTCCCATGAAATGTTTTGAAGTATCTTTGAATAGTTGCTCAGTTTAACTTTTTTATTGATACTCCCTCCATTGCTTTAGGGACATGAAAGCATACTTGAGGCTGTGGTCAGTACATTATGAAGCCCTGATTCATTAATGGTGATTTTGTAGTTATTAGTATTGTAAGTAAGCATGACGTGTTTACATTACATATTTATAGATTTTTATTTTTTTTTTATTTTAGATGTTTTTACTTCGACATTTTAAATACAGTTTATTCCCCACCTGATTATTATTATTTTTTATTTTATTTAACCTTTATTTAACCAGGCTAGTCAGGGCTAGATCTCTTTTCAAGGGGGACCTGGCCAAGAATGGCAGCAAAGAAGTTTCAAAACAAAAAACAAATGTAAGTCATAAATTACTTTAAGTCCAATCATCATGCTCCCCAAAGCGTCTGTAGTGTTAACTGACTTTATCAGTGAAATCCTGATAAAGTTTCAATTTGTTTTTCATTGATTAAAAAACAGGTGTTTCTAAATGACATCGCAGTGCTATGATCAATGATTGATGTTTATTGATTACAGATGCTAATATTCTTTTGAAAGGAAAAATAATGTTAATTAAGGGTCAGTTGAATTTAAAGCAGGTAGTTTTATTACTTTTAGATTGCTGCAGGACAGCTGTAGTTATATGATTGGAGATGCACAATGTCAACATACGATAAGTCATTAATAAATTCTCCTACTTTTTATTTTGTTCTGTTATTAATCAAATTTAGCATGCTATTTTGACAGCCCTAATTTAGAGATACCAACATATAATCTGTAATCAAGTATTTATCTTGCAAATTACTTGACAGAACATTACCTCTGCACTGTTTTACTCTAGGCAGAAATGGGCCTTCATACATAGAGATTTTGTTATCACTGAACAAACCACGTTTTATTTAAACAGAATGCATTTTCATTGTTATTAAATTATTAATTTACAGGTCATACCTGACTCCAAATATATTTACTTATCATTATCACTGTCACTTTGCATATTTGTTGTGTTAAAGTGAATTTTCCTTGTTATTTTTTGTTGTTTAGTTCTGCAAATACCTTTGTCAGTTATGATTATGATGCATAATCATGTTATTTATGTCTCTTATCCAACTGTTAACAACAGTAAAAAATAAATGCATGTAATGATCCAAATAAGCAAAAAGTGGAAGAAAAGGATTTTGTAAAAGAAGCTGATTTGATTTGACATACAAATATTGAAAATGGGCTTTTCTCGATTTCTTGACAGCAAGAAGCAGATGGCAGAGGAGGAGAATAAATGCAGACAGAACCAAGAGCAATGGGAAAAATAGAGGAAGGAAATGCGTAGGGAATCAGATGACACAGAACATTAGTAAAATAAAGCACAAGAGACTCAGCTAAGGAGAATGAAAGAGACCGACACAGTCGGGGTAATCTGAGGAAAGGGACGAATGGATGTGGGATCAGGTCACTCAGTTTGATGGACTGGAACCCCCACTCCCTTCCCGGTCTTGACTTGAAGGTTGTGTCTCTTCTCGCCATTGAAGACTAATCACATTAGAAAGGGAAAGAGGGAGCTGAACCGCACTGCTGCCGAGCCCTGGTCATAGTCCAAGTCTGCTTCACTAAAGCACAAAAGATGTAAAATGTGAGCTGTTTGACAGCTGGTGAATGCAGCTCTGGCTGTGACTACAGCTGGTCCTGGTGTAGTTCTCTGCTGTCACATAGAGATGGGCAGTGGTAGACAACTGTTTCAGCCTTTCCTGAACTCCCATTTCTGCTCCTGTTAAGCTTTAATCTCGGTTTCTAATCATAGGACCATCCTGCATTATGTAATAATCAAGTAGGTGTATGCTGTTGTTGTTAATGCTTTTTATACAACATGTGTTATCAATCACTTTGGAACAAGGATGGCTGGAAATGCTACTGAACACTACAAGGCTCATCAGTTAAGCTTCTGGTCATGATTTACAAACCTAAGCTCAAGTTGTGGAAAACTCTTTGCAGGTGTTGATAAATTATTTTAAAGTGGAGAACTCAACCACAACCAATCGCAGAAGTAAACCCCAAATGACTTTCCAGACTGGCATTAACTTTAGCTCCTTCAGGTCATTAGTGTTACATGTCACAGAAGTTTTATGATAGAAACCGGTAGACCATCATTTAATGACCTCAATGACCTCTTTTAAGGAGGCATTACATTCAAGCCCCCTTCTCATGTAACGCCATTGTCTGCTATCCGATTAGTAACCTCAGTCGCAAGAATAGAGTTGAAGTTAAGAGATCCACTGAGCATTTTTGGGTCGAATAGACATCTAAAAGACATCTGAGTGTAGCCTAGACAACTGGTCTAAAATTGGGCAACCACAGGCCAAAAAGTGAAAGTTTAGACTAGCCGGCTAACAGAGGTCTACATTGTATATTGCTCAACGACTATCATAATTATTTTGGTTGAGTAATTGGAGATCAAATATGCAACTCACAGTTGCTTTTTGAAATAAATAGTTATCAAATAATGGGTTAAAGTGCAACGTCCGAATTCCATCTAAAAATATACAGAATCTAGACGGTTGAAATTAGGTCTAAAATAAAACTGGATGTCTAATATCCGTCTATTGCTCAGTGGGGAGGACATCAGATATCTTTTTATAGACATTAAACAAAGCTAAATTGTCCTTGTGTGCTATTGGATTGGTTCTATAGTTGTATTTTGGCTGTATAGGTAGTTTGCTCTTCAAACTTATGCCCGCTGACAAGCTGAGAACATTAACATTCTGACTTCAGCAGAAACTAGATTGCTTCCAGCACCTAAACCTAGTCCCTGCCCTTTGGATTCTGCAGTTGTATGCAGAATCTATAGGTGCAGTTTGGCCTTGACAATTGGGGATTCACAAAACAGAGGGAGTGTGTTGCATTAAACAGAGCCAGAGTGATGTAGTTTTGCAGGGATTATACGTCCAAACAAACAAAATCAAAATCAAATCCAGTAATAAAGCAGATACAGATCATCAGCTTTTAGCATTTCTGCAGAGATGTGCCTTAGGGGCTTATTTACAAACCCACTCACAGCATCGCTGAACTTAAGCACGCCAAAACACATAAGGCTATTTCTAAATGATCTCAAGCACACGGTAAAAGTGCAGGGTGCAAAGAGGTTGTGCCATCATGCCCCTTTTAAACACAGATCATTGTATGAGTAATATCAGTGCATGGCTTGTTTTAACCCCTGAAACAATCCCTATGTGCATCAGGAATGATCAGGGACTGACCTCTTTGTTAAACTAAGAAAGACCCTAGGCATATTTATGTATGTGGCATCAGTGTCAGACACGCCTGTCTGTTTTTTTTCTGTGTGAGGGGGCGAGTGTGCATTGGAATGAGCATGCAATAAACAGCTTGGTGTTAGTCACAGGAATGTCAAGGGCTGGAGTTTCTGGCCCATATGGGACTGAGGTGTGAGTGTTCCTTTTGGGCCTCATACTACAAGCAGTATCATAATATAAGAAGACAAGGTAAACACAAATCTCAAAGCTTTCTGTTCTGTCAAGTAATTATATTTATACTTATGATTAAGAACGCTGCTGCACAAACTTGTGCAACAGCCAATGCACCCTCTAAATAACAGAGAAGCATAGGTTTTAGTTATGATTCATTTCTCTGTCAGTTTCAGCATCCGCAAGACAACACCTCTTCACCTGGCTGTATATTATCTCAAGACAAGCACACCTTGAACCCCCTCAATTTCTGCATTTTTGTGCTTGTTAAAACTTTGAACTTAAAAATGAGGAGGAAACAAGCTTGTATTTTACGTACAGTACTTTGTGCCAGGGTTGTGCTGACCTTGTTGGATTCTAATTCGCATAAGCACCCATTTAGTATACATCATACCTTTTATTTAGGGTAGAATAAAGTCAAAATTTGGATGTTACAAATAAATATAGAAATAGAGTGGTGCATTAAGTCTACCAGTAATGCAGTGCTTCTTACAGTCTTAATTAATTTTATTAATTAGGGTTAGGTAATTGTAAAGGCTGAAATGTATGAAAGAGGATTAGGGCCACAAGGAGAGAAAAAGTTATTACAGGAGGGATATTTTTTTAATTCCCATTTCGAGAAAAACTCGAAATTTCGAGATTAAAGTCTAAACTTAAAAAAAGTCTAAATGAAAATTTGAAAAATTTCAACATAAAAAAAATCGAAATTACGAGATTTTAAACTTTGAAATTTCAACATTTACAACATTTCATGTCTAAATTTCGATTTTAATGTTGAAATTTAAATTTTAAATCTCATCTCTCAGTTTCAACTTTATTGGCATAATTTAGAATTTTTTAATCTCTAAATTTCTGCTTTAATCTCCTTTCTGTAATGATTATTTTTTCTCTTCATGTGGCCCTAATCCTCTTTCTTAGAAATAAACACTTTTTAGTTGTAGTAAACTTTTCTTCTTTCTTACCTTTTTTAACTTTTCATACGCCCTCACTCTTGTGGTAAATCAAACATGACAAGCCCCACCCATTTTGCCTCTACATTCAGTATACATAGCAGCACACCAAATCACCTTCAGTTGAAAATGATTTAATAGTGATGTAGAAACAGTAGAAAAATGCATAATATTGCACATATTCATTGAATTGCACTTTCTCAGGGTACAGATCTTTGCATGGACGTTGGTGACCTGATAAATGGGATCTATTGTTTAATGATTGGAGGCTAGTATGAGTCTTCCTGACATTTCTTGAGCATTTAACAGTATAATAACCTACATAATAGCCGCTGCAGTAAAAGAACTTCAAGTATTCATCAAATACCTGCTTTGTAACAGCGTGCAAGTTCAGTATCATTGCTACATTATCATATTTGTCTTCTTCATCTTTTTCTGCACCTGTTCAAAGCTGGTGGCTACGAGTCACCTCTACTGTAAGACTGCTACCACACTCTTTAAGCACTGTACATAGCCCTTCTACTCTTGCAAGTTCAGTGCACAGTCATTTGTCTTATTAGACAGATGTTAGGAGTTCTGTAACTGTCTACTGTGGGAAAAAGAAGCTTCATTTTACAAGATGGAACTTTAGGTAAAATGACAACTACTGATACAGGGCAACGTTTCAAGTGTTAGTCAACAGAACATTTAACAAATACTGTATCTTATGAATAGATTTAAGAGATCTACTGTGACACAATGAGCGACCGAGAAGCAAGGCAGACTCTTTATGGACTCCACGAGAAATGTCAAAATAGCATTTACTTTTTGGAAATTCAAAACCAAAACCAAAACAAAGAACAAACATTGTATAATTTTTCATAGAAAATATTCTGCCTTTAGAAGTAGTCAAAACATTATATATGTTGTTAAAAAATCTGAACTCGGTTTTCAACAGTTGTACCTGCTTCAAGAGGAGGGACCCTAACACGCTTGTTTTGAATGTTGGTTTTTCACAGTACTTTGTTTAAAAAGATGCAGGTTTTTTAAAATATATTTTCTGAACATTTTTGTGTCAGTGTAGCCAACGTAGGAGGAGGACAGGGCGGCTGAGGCAAAGTTGGCTGGCTAGTTACCTGCTTGCACAGTGAGCTAAATGGAGAAAGATAGCAAAGAGAGAGAGAGAGAAGAGAGAGAGATAAAGGGACGGAGTTACAAAGAGAGAGGGGGAAAGGGTTATTAACAAAGGCAGGCAGCAGACGTTCAGTCACACAGACAAACTGAGCAGGATGTTAACAGATAAGGAGGAAGAGAAGAGAATAGACGAGGTTATAAGAACAGCGCTGACACACTGCCATGTACTGTACTGTAGTTCAGTCTTTTTTACGTGTGTTCCTCTCCAAAGTCAAATGTTTGTGCTTTGCCGCAGGTGGGGCTGATGTCCATTCAAAGATTATCGCTTCGGTCATAAAAGGCCCTCCACATGGCGCCTCCTCTTGTTGCCAAGCAATATGCTCTGAGGGGGAGAAAAAAGACCAAAAAGTGCATTGCATTGTTGGATACGATAAGAACACATAAATATAAAGTGAAAGGTGCGTTTTTATCTAGCATAAAAATCATCACATCCTTCCTAAAAAAACACAGAAATAGATCCCAAGGCTCACCTAGTTTCTGCGTGTGTGTCAGTCCTCTTCAGCGAATATGCCAGAAAAAGGTGTGGCTGAATTTAAAATGTTTTTTTGTCTCTGCTTCCCCTTTTTGCAGTCTCAACTCAGCGCCCCATATGAACAGATTTCTATCCTCATCCATCCTCTTTTGTTGATTATTCCATCTGAATACTCCTTCATCCATCTTTTTGGCATAACAGGGTGTTAATGCGCCCAAGAAAAAGACTCTTTCCAAAGCCCTCATCTTAAATTCAAAGAAACCAGAGTTTCCAGCGAGCATGCTTTTTGGACTCAGTCTTGGACTTGCGTTTGGGGGTGGATGTGAACACTTCATTGGAGTAAGGCAGAGCAGGGCATTGTCGGCTGTCCAGTGGGCAAAGTCTCTTCATTAGGGGCTGAAGTTTGTCCTCTTGCAGCTTAAAGTCCAACTCAACACTGCAAAACAAACACAAGACAGAAGCTTTTCATAACTTTTTAATACTTCGATACCTTTCAAAACCACATGCTTTTAATGATCGTCTCTTTTATTTTTAAGTTTGATAGCATCAAAAAGCACTAAAGCTTATGAAAATCGGATTTCGAGTCAAATTTTTAACCCAAAGCTGCTGCGAGCAGGAGAGACAGCGATGGCAAGGATAAGTAAAAAGATAAAGAGAGATGATAAAGGAGAGAAAGTGATTTAACGCAATGTTATTGTCTGACTGTTTCACTGTGGTTATGCTTTGAAACTTATGAACGCTTGCATCTACAAACGCACAGGAAGAAGCCAGACTTTGGTTGTTTTTACACAGTAGTTGTGCTTCTTCCTTCCTGCTGAGCGTTTCTCTGCTCTGCTCCTTAACGGTCTCTAACGTCAACTTTTCTTGTTCACAGGTTGGCAATTTTGTTGTTTTGTTAAGTCCCTTTGGCATCTCGTAAAGATGTTCATGTTATATTGTATGCCCGTTCCAGACAGACTGAGAGCAGGGGAGAGATGGCGATGTCACCTGGTCCCTAAATGTTCATCAGTCCTGACCTGTGGGCCGATGGCTATGAGCTCAAATCCAATTTGTAGGAGCCAAAATATATTTGTTTAGGATATGATCTATAGGTGTGTCACCTCTGGGGTGTGGTTTTGGGATGTTTGGCGAGTTATTAAAATCTCACCGGTGTAGTCAGACAAGGGGTCGTGGCAAGTTCTGAAAATATTCTGTTGACCGTTTTTCATCATTTTTCCCCATTTCACTCATCCTGTTTTAACCTCATTTCAGCATATCACTCTTTTCATTCGAAGGCAGAAGTTTTGGAGCTGGATCAGCGTGTTTTCTTTTCTTTTTTGAACAATATATATTACCCTTTTAACACTCAAACAGGACTGATAATTGATGGCGTCACAGATGCAAGCGAACCTAAACCCCAGCGGCCTTTTTTGTTGAAGGACAGCGGTCACTACACACTTGAGAAAAGCAGACACACAGAGCCGGCCCAAGCCTCAATGGGGCCCTAAGCAAAATTTGATTTTGGGGCCCTCTATTTCTGTCAATAATATTGATTGTTGATCATTCACACACCTACTACAGTATAAATTTAATGCGCCTGACATGTCTTAACACATTTAAGGGGTGGCCTAGGTAATGACATAAATAATACCAATGCAACCATACAAATAATACCAATGAATGACTGATAAATGATGATCAGGGTGCCACATATGGTTTTTAATCTCAAAATGTAACACATTCAGGATGCTCAGTGTACATTGCACAGCAGAGGGCACATAATGGTAGTGGAGCTTTGACATATCGGCAGTAAGAATCATAGGCCTACATCAGCAGCAGCAAATGTTTTTACTTTATTTTACGATAATATATATTTGCTCATACAAAAAAAAATTTTTGCTCTTGGGGGACCCCTACTGGCCGTGGGGCCCTAAGCAGGCGCCTAATTCGCTTATGCCTTGGGCCGGCTTTGCAGACACCCATAAAAGATTTGAGAACAAAACTGCACACCCCATCTCTTTTTGAATGTTATGTACAAACATAAGGAGTGTGTTTAAAAAAGAAAATCCTCCTGTCAAACGTATCACTTACTGAAATGTTTTTGACACCAACCCAGAGGCGGTTGTGACATGCATTAAAAATACCACCACAGAAATAGCCAATCACCCCGCTGAAGGTCTCACACGAGCAAGGCCATAGAGAGGTGTCAGTATGAAAAACTCCTCACAGCAGCTCTAAAATGTACGTCTTTGTAATGCACAGATTTCTCACTTTTAAAATCAGGTTTATTCATCTGAAGTTTGTGCTGTTTTTCTTCATAGTTCTTACATTAATGACTTAGTTTTTGCCTTATTTTTCTGTTAGCAGACGACTGATGTCCAGATGGAGGCTGGGAGGAAGGCACACGATTCAAATGCACTGGCAGACACCCTGGCAGCACATATCTCTTGCAGCACATATCCATATTTCAGAGACTCCTCCAAGTAATAGAGCTCCTTTGCATCATCTCTTATATTTTTTTTCTCCTCCTCCTCCCATGCAGTCAAAGGGCTTTTCCTGCATAGATTAAATTCCTATCCAAAAAAGAGAGAGAATGTGGGTTGCTCCTGACATCAGACTACCACATGTGCCAGTATAATCCAGGGCCTGGTCATCATCTGATTCGTCCCAGCACCGTCGTTGAACTCTGTTTCCGATTAAATCTCGCAGGTCTGGGAGAGATGTGGGGCTTAATCCCATCCAAATGAAACCATCTAGAGGCCAAACAGACTCTGATTAACTGCCTGTGTTCAAGCAAAGGATAAATGCGTTATTATACACCATCTCCCTTCACTTTATTACTATTGATTTGTAGTGCGCCGTTAATGTATTTATTCCCTGAGTGTTCAATAAATTTTGAGAGTATCATGGCGGAAATAATGGAGAGTGCCGAAGTGACACTGCCTGTAGTTTGGTTTTGGACATTTCTGATTCATCATCGTTACTTAACATATTTAAAACAAGCACAGAGAATACCGCATTCTACCAACCCCAGCCCTGCCATTCACAGTCGAGAGGATTAACGGTACAAGTGCTGACAAAAGAGTCGACATCTGACACGCCAAGGTCAAACACGCCTGTCCTGTCCTTGTCTGCCAACGCACAAACAGACGTTAAGACACAAAAGCTCGGCCTGATAGGAGGGAAGCCGCTTTGATGGGCAGCGTAATTAGTTCGCTGAAGGATATGCTATACTCAAAGTGACATAATGAATCCTGCGAACTGTCCTCACCCTCAAGATAAGTGTCAGTTAAGAACAGAGCTCTATTAAAGCCCGCAGGATGGAGGGCTGGATAGGAGTTTGGCAGGACGAGCCTTTGAATGAATCAATGTTGAGATTAAATGGTTAAAAAGGAAACAGGAATATGGTTTTGTGGGTGCTTGAAACTCAGCATAATTTCTTATGTGAAATACGATTTTAAGCATGTTTTATTGTATCAAAGGGAGAGCTTTTTTGAACACTGCTTGGCACATCCTTCCCGTCTTACTGGGCATTTTTCCCTTGTTGTACTTGCAGCTTTAGTATTCATGATGCCTGAAAATAAGGAACTCAGATTAGACAGAGGGCTTTATCTTGAAAAAAAAACTGCTGTTTTTGCAGTATTTGATGCACTTGTTTTACTACATCCCTTAGTCATATCAGCCATTGTTACATTTCCTCCTGCTTTTATCTCACCCTGTATCTTTCATGTTGAACAGCGCCTTTCTAAAGAACGTTGAGTTGACAGAAAGCATAGAGCAGAATCTCGGTGCTTAGCAGAATAGCCTCGGCAATTATTAAGCAATTAATCACTCGGCAGATCACTTCAATTACTGTACGCCACGGACAAACGCCTCAGCGGGGAGCCGGCGATGCATGATGCAGGTGGCAACCGGGCGCCAGGTGCTTCAGCAAACAAAAGCCCTATATCTAAGATCATCTCATCACACAAACAGATTGAAGCGGCTGGAGACAGGGAGGCTTTTCTAGGGCATTCAGCAAAGCAGATTAATCACCTCTTTAGCTATGCAGTGTGAGTAGCTGGATGCTGTGATCAGTGGCGAGCCGTTTGTTTGTCTGCGGTTGTGGTGTGCTGAGCACCATTCAATGATTGTTGCTCCTGGGAGAGATTCTGCTGCTGTGAGATGTCTTTTTAGCACCGCATACTCAATTCATACTCATACCTGCTCGCGACTGCTCTCTGTTCTCTCTGCAGTGAATTTCCTCTGGGCTATTCACGATTTTGAAATCTCCACTTGACAAGAGGAGCGTTTCAGGTCCCCTAGAACAGTGTAACATCTTCAGGACTACATGAGGGGGCACAGTAGATGAAATCACCAGAGAGTGACACTTATTTCCTCTACTGACAGGCAACACTCGAAGCAGATACTCCCCACAGGTTATGTAAATGTGATGCAGAAATTCTCCCCCTGTCATGTATATCAGATTTGAAAGCCATCGCGATTGTCTATCACATGGCTTTCTGCTCCACAAACACAGAAAAAAAAACAATCTTCTTAATGATAACAGAATAAAAAGGCAGTCTTCGCCAACCGCGGCTTCGCCATTCGAGCGTGGGACACGAGCGCTAATTAGCTGCTAGCGTCTCATCATATTGCTTTACAGTTGTCTTTCCCTGAGCTTTAGCTGTTCTTCAAAGTCATTGTTAGCTACAAATTGGAAACACTATGTTGTACACTTTGATTCAAATGCTGGCTCTTATTCAACTCAGCATGATTGGAATAAAAACCCTCTAATGTTTTGAGCGGAGCATGTTGTTAAACTGGACTCCCTGCTGCACTCTAGGTGGACTCAGTGGTAAGCCAAATATACAGTAATTTGCAAATGATGCTCTTATCAACATGAGCCCTAACAAAATAGCTACCTTCTTTTAGGACTTTTTTATGTAGCCATGGTGCTTTTTTACTATGATATAATTCTCTAATGGCCACTAGTGGAGCCATTTTTGATACTGCTGCAAAGGAGTGATATTAGACTCCTTTTTTTTTTAGCAGAAGTACAAGTCTTACTGAGTTTTTTTTTTCTGTAGAGAGTATTAAATGACATAGTGCATTGCTGCTGCTTGACTAGGCCTTTATTGTCCATGAGACATTCTGCAAATGAAAGATTAATACCCCAGAAACACCTGGTTTCCTGTTAAAAGGTTGATGTTAAGAGCAGGTGGACATAAGACTATGAATCAGACATTAACTACAACAGTAGGAACCTGTTCTGTTAGTTCAGTTCAGTCGAAGCTTTTATTGTATCGACAAAATTAAAAAAAGTCTGCAGCTTGGACTAATTGTGCATTAGTTCTGGGTCAGTTGTGTCTTCAACTGTATTTATCGGATAATAAGCAAGAATCAACATTTGAGTTTACACATCAGTGTACATCTGCTGTAGTTTGCTGAGCTGATTGTCATTTTTGGTCTCTAGGCAGGGACTCAAGCAATGATGTTGGCATGTTTTGGGGTTTTTTCCACCTCAGCAGTAACAACTTAGTGTTGTGAATTTTAAACCACTCTGAAGGACCTCTTTGACATTTAAATGACAGCCAAGGGTAAAATGCACTGAGTGGTCAGCCATGCCAAACTTCAGACTAAACATTATTCCTCTGAAACTAACTGCTAGTGGCTTCAATATAATCATGAATTGTTGTTATATCCTCTTTGAGAGTGCAGTGTTTCCATGTCAAAGTACTGTTTTTTTAAATAACGAGGGATGCACTGATCCGCTTTTTTCACCTCCAGTACCGATACAGTCTAATATCAGCAGATACGATCCAATTCCAATACAGAAAATCCACGCTGAATTACCTTTTGTTGTAACCTGAAGTTTTACCTCTGCCCCTCGGAATATTTACTGCACAGGTACTCCAAGTGGCCGTCGAACTTGTAGATTAAGGTACTGTGATAAAGTTCAAGATAGCCGACCCCTTTGCTCGCTCCATATTGAAAACAATGAGGGGATCCGCTCAGCGTGTTTACTTGTGGATGCCACTCACGGCAAATAGCATAGAGTTAAACTGCCCCTATGCATCGGGCCCATTGTCACGATATCCGATCTAGAATTTTCTTCAGTATCGGGACTGATACCGGTATCAAATATTGCATCCCTATAAATAACAAAACAAACATACAAAAAAACCCGCATTTCAAATAGGAAGAAAAAGAGAGCATGTCCAGGCAGAGGGGTGGTCAGGGGTGGTATGAGCCCCCCACTGAGACCTGACAGTCCACCCCTGGTTCAGCCTAAATTTCTTAACTATTTCTGAGCGTTTTGAGTCGTCAGAGGCAGCACTTAGGTTAAAACTAAAATTTATATGATGCCACTTTTTTTCCCTCTTTTTTTGAAGTTTTCTTTTTGACTTTTACGTCTGTGTTCAGAAAAGAGGACAGTAGATAAACTGAAGGACTTGGGAACAGAGGGGGAATGGCATGCAGCAGAGGGCTGAAATCAAACCTGGGCTGCCTGTCTGAGGACCAAAGCCTGCTGGGGCCCTATGAAGCAGAGAAAGACAGAGTAAATAAATCTTAATGCCACCCCTGCTTAAGTCAATGTCCTTGTTAGCCACCCCAGTTGAAAAAGTCTGGACACACCTCTACCTATTTATAATATTAAACTCAAAACTTTCTGAATACTTTGTGTCATAAAGTTATGTAAGAAATCATGTCGTTTTCTTATTAGGGTGAAGTGACCCTGGAACAGATCCCCTCCCTCCCTGTGTGTGATGGACAAAATTAATATAGTTATTCCTCTAATTTATTGTCCAAACATCCAGCCCTCCTATCCCTCTCTTTCACTTGCCATATGCATGCCCTATTTGTTACAGTGATGTATTAGATGCTGCAGTGTACAAGGGGTGGGTGGAGACTGTCAGGGGAGAGCCCAAGTCTGGATAAGACCAATAGATTGACTACCTTAGCTCAGCAGCTGCTACAGTCCTGGATTTATCGGACACACTGGAGAGGCAGGACTGCTCTGAAATTAAGGGCTACATCTCTGGGGCTGCTAATCTTGGTTACAGCTGCATCGTGCAGTTGTTGTCTATCTCTAAAGGGTAATTGGTCTTTTGGTCCCATCCCACTTTTATTTGCTCGTTTTAATTTGCTTCACTGTACTCCTGGCCCTCTCATCAAGGTGTCACACCGAATAGTTTGTCTGGCAAGGTGATTACTGCTGCCCTGTCAACAGTTTAGCTCCCTGGATTAAAAAAAAAAACAACTATTATAAAAACAGGGGTGTTGTTGGTGGGTTCATACAGCAGTCTGTGCAGCGCTGTGTTTTACATGACAAGAAAAAGTACAGCTGCAGTTATCAGCAGACTGAAACATTAATCAAACTTTTCTCCCCCTTTTTTTTTTAGCTTTTGCAGCTGGATTTTCCTGGAAAATACTGCACACCATTTGCTGAATTTCAGATATTTATTACAATTGCTTTGGCATAGTTAGATAGGACTGGAATGGATTACACAACCATGCTTGCCAACTACAGTTCTGCTCTATTCAGCCACTGTAAAGAAGCAGTTGGATGGACTGAAATAAAAAGGCTATTGAATGATACAGAGCACAGATGAAATGATAATCTTCCACATTATTAGCCCTCTGCAGAGTGCATCTTTTTATTAGCATACCGCATGCTCTGGTTTAGTTACAATAGGCTGATAGCGCTTCTTCTGCCATCAGAAATTCCTTAGAGTTTGCTAATTAAGACAAGCTGCTTCGCTGATATACGAAGTCGGCAGATTTTGTCTTATCAAGACAGTCGACTTCTTGCTTCTGTCATACAAATTATGTAGCTGTTACATTGATGATGTTAGATGAAACAAAAATACACCACGTTGCCCCATTTAACTGCAGCAAGACATGAATAAACAATAGGTTCAGCCAAAATCACACAAAAATCAAAGAGACACATTCACCGCTCATTTAGGTGATTATATATATTTTTAACCACACTGCTCAGCCACCCTAGGTCTTTACAAAGGCCAAACCCATTAGAATAAACCATTTCTGATTAAGGTGGACACAGAAAATGAACACAAAGATAGCACTCTGCCGAGAGCAGGTCTCTGTACACAAAGAACAGCAAAAATACGACAAATTATGTTGGAAAATTGACATAAATACACCTGTCCTGCAGATCACTCCTTTTATCCAGTCATTTTTCATGTTTGGTGAGCTACTTTGTGATTGTTGCATGATTCATGGAAATTACTATCATGCAGAGGTCATTATTTCATCCTTTAGAACCATTATGTTGTTTCTGGCAGTGAAAACTCCTTAACCTGAACCATGCTAAACAGGGAGAGTTGAATCTGTAGGTGTATTGTGGGCTAAAGGTTTTCTAATATTATTCTCCATAAAGGTATTAAAAATTCAGTGTTGTACCACTTTCAGGGTAAGGTTATTTCAGTTTATTAACCTGCAGGTGGCTTGGGTTATAATATTTTGCTAAAGTGAAACCTAATCTTCACAGTTTCTTCTTGTCTAAGTACTTTGGATGCCAATAATGAGTCGAAGTTAAGAGTAATTATGATTTACACGATTTTTTAACCATGTAATCTGGACAAATATAAACAAGAGTCAATTGCAGCATCATATCGGACCATGTTTATGCAGCTCAAACTGTATCGTACAAAGATCAGGGGGCCCAGGACTGCACCCTGAGGTACACCAGAAGAAAAGGAGAAACAAAGTATTGTTCTGTAGATCTGTTGTGTAAAGGACAATTCCGTGGAGATCGGGCTAAAGTGCTCTGAATGCGGCAATGAGAGCAGGAAGCACTAAAATAGATTTCTTTTTAAGGTATTCAGATTTATTCTGAAGTTGTTTACTGGTTTGAGGAGAGCTGTCTTTAAAGGGGTTTGCCTCAACTCTTCCTCCCTCCTGATTTTCTGGCTCAGTGAAGTCCTTGGGAATAAGATAGAAAATAAAGCATTTGGAAAAGTGACGCTGGGAAGAACATTACCGTGGAGATAATAATAGTTTTTATCTGGACATCTTGACAAGATTTGGTTAAACTAGGGCAGAGAAGGAGGAAAAGGGGTGTCAATTCATCCGGAGACCAGGGCTTTTCTTCATTAATTACGAACCTTATCCTTGTTTACTTCACATCTGTAGGAGTGATGAGAACAGCTGGGTGAAGGATTACTGTAGGTTAGAGTCCATCTGTTGTAATAACATTAGTTTGGAGAGGTAGTGGTTGGCAGATCAGATTTAGAGGATCTTTTTAGGTTAGGTGAGACATCAGGTCATCCGGAAAGCAATCGCCTCACATCTGCCACTGTTTCTGACTGCAGAGTCAGACTCAGGCCCGAGAATCTGTTTGACTACCCTTACTTAAAGAGTATCAAGTCTTCTTCTGCTACGTTTTTGCTAATGAGTGGTGATCTGCCATTTGCCTTAAAGTCCTCGGTTGCAGAATCTTATTCTCTGATGGCAACTCAGCCTCATTCTGTAGAGGCGAAAAACTATTCTCCAGTTGAACTGACTGCAGTTCACAGCTGCTCTCTGTTTTGAAATGGTGAGGGGGAGTGAGACTAGCTGTTGTCTATAGCATTGTGTCTCAGTTATACCGTTGCACTTAAGGAGAGATATCAGCAGGAAAAATTTTGGTTGCTGTTTTTGTTTCTTTCTCCACTTGAGAAAGACCAGAGGCCTTGTTTGGATACGGAGTGTAACACGGTTTAAGTCTTTGGTCCTGATCCCCAGTAGGCACAGCCTTTTTAGCATAAACTGGCAGACTGCATTTACATTACTGATATCTGTAATTCAATTCCCCCTGGTCTAAACGAACATTGCAGATATTCATAGTGACATTTCATACATCACCAATTGTCCTAACAGCATGAGCACCACATATTGCCTCCCATTGAGTAGCTAAGCAATGGGCACTTACTGTCCACACTGCCTCTGTCAAATGCACCTTTCTGTTACACCGTATAAACAAACCTTATCGTTATCAACCATGTAAAAGAGAAGAGCAAGAGATGTTCAGGATGGAAGGATAATGTTTCTAACTCCTGCTCGTAAACAGAAAACAGGACCACTCCCCACTTTCACCACAAGTTAAAGCTCCCATGGGGAGTATTTTGACATTTATGAAAAAGACTGAAAAATATCTTGATGCCTTTTCATGCTACATAGAAGCAAACAAGACCATCATCAAGAACAAGATTAACCATTTGTATATCAGCACTTTTAATGCTTGAAACTGATGCAAGGGGGGTAGGTGTCAGCTAAGCAACTCGAGGAACAGCCCTGTCCATACGCCAACGTGTCCTTGAGAAGACACTTCACTCCAAACTGCCCCCATAGCTGCACCAAGAAGTGTGTAAATAGGATTAGTTAATACTCATGGCCCATCAGTGTAAATGAGTGAATGTAACATGTACTTGAGTGATCAGAGGACCAAAGACAACTTTATATGAATACTGTCCAACAACACACTGCTGATACAGCCATTTTTCACCAAACACATCTCTGTCACCATGTTTACATAAATCAAGCTTGGAGCAGCTTGAGTAGGTAATTGAACTGTCTCTGTCCCTGAAGACAAGCACCAGTTGAAAGCCCGTTTATTAAAATTATGTTAGCTCTCTCATGGTGGTTGGCGATATGACCCTTTTCATATCATTACAATTGGGCCATCTCTTGGTTAACCTATCATGTCACATACCAAAATAATTGGTAAACAGCCAATCAGAGGGCCAGCTGGTTGTAAACCAAACAGTGGAAACTCACACATCTTTACAACCGTTTACTTTTTGTACATATGATACACCGACTTCATCCTCTATTACTCCCCTACTTCTTCTGCCAACGTGTTATTTTCTCTCCAGCCTCCTTCAATGCATCAGTATTGTTTTGACTCTTGGGTCGAAGCCGGGCTTTTTGAGCTGTGGCGCATGTGCAGAATGCCTTGGCCAAATGGTGTCTGATTGAGTTGTATACATGCAAGACAAAACCCACCATTGCATTATCTTGGTTTGCTGGTCAGACTTCAAGAAATTCCACTTTAGTTGGACTAAAAAATTTCAAATTTTTTTTGAAGTCCAGTTTCAGTCAGACTAACACAATAAATAATTTTTTAACATGTCATCTAGGGCCGGGCGATAAACCGAAAATTCACTGATACCGAAATTTACGCAAATAACCTATGTCATTTTGGCCATGTCAATATATTCGGTGTCAAATAAATAAATAAAAGTTGTTTTTGGATGTGTGCAGGTAGGCTATGGTCTCATGTCCCTTTAAGACGATGTCCTACATCGGAGACATGACTCCAGTCCATAACAAAGAGGGAAAGACAGGTGAGGAGATGGAGGATGGTTCAAAAGTTGTAGTGGCTGGAGCGGTGTGGGAGGGTGTGAGCAGCTCGTGGAGTAGTTATCGTCCATTTATCGTTATCGAGGTGAACCGCTCAATATATCTTGATATTGATTTGAGGCCATATCGCCCAGCCCTAATGTAATCACAATGATGATGCATTTCACAGAGACAAACTATGAGTTCCTTGACAGCACTTCATATTTGTGAAAATCGATAGTGTTGACCAAGGTTACTGCTTTAAACAGTAAATAAAAATCTTTTAACAGTAAATAGCTGGGACCAGTGAGCGTGGCATCAAAAGTACTCTGTGATTTTTTTTTACAGCAGATGACACTGTCTTGCTTGTACCAGTTTTCCAAATTGAGATGTAATGCAAACCACCTTACATGAGAGTATGTTCATCTTCAGATCATTATCAGATTAGAGAGGACTTTTTACTCTCTAAGTAGTGTTAATGAAGGTGTTAAGAGACCTGACTAATTAGAAATATGACTACAGCTTTCAGTGCCATCTCAGCAAGACAGCACTGACAGAAGTAATGAGCAGGTTGACATGAATGTAGCTGCAAAAAAGGTCTTTCTTCAGTAAAGCAGTCCATTAGAAAGACTTAAAGTGGTCAAGGAGACTGTGTATCACATTAAGGCATCATATTCAAGCCAAAGCAGCTCCATTCCCCTGTGGAAAAAGGCAGAAAATCTCTACATGACTTGTGTGGGAGGCCTGGCGCTTTTAGGAATTTGTTTGAGGAAATAGAAAGAGAAAATAAAGAAAATTGCTGAGTAAGCCACTTCTTCATGCCACTCAAGAACAAATCTGTTTGTGTAAGTGGTTCTTGCGTGAGACGCCAGTGATTTCTCATCCCCCCTGTATCTGATATGACATGTAGATCCTGCTTTTTCATTTTCCACAGTGGTCTTACACCACAATCTAGGTCAGCTTGACACAATGCACTTGTCAACGGAGGAGAGGGAGAGGCCTCTCCTAAACGTTATATAAAGGAAAAATCCTGAAATACTGTGTCCTTGTCCTGGACATGCTTTTCAGGGTTTTTTTTTTTTACCTTCTCTTTGCAGTTATAGATGTGCCCAGGTTTGTGCCAAAAGGGATTGGAAATAATCAATTTGAATTCACTAGAATAATCAAAAAAAGGACATGGAGAGGAATGGGCTGCTCTTATTCTCTTTCTGTAAAAAACAGCAGGCTGTATAACAAGCAAAGCAGAAAGTTCTAAAGAAGATCCGTCTGCTTAAGAAAAAGAGTAGAAATTCTCAGAAAGGATACGAAGCATTGAGATTTTTGAATATGTGGCCTCTGTGAAAACAATTTCTCCTTTACAAGAGGTAACATCTGTGTGGTAAACAGGCAGCTGATTGGAAAGATTAGTAAAGACTGTAAAATACCATCCATTTAAAGTTTTTCTCCAAACAGCTGCCTGTTTCTTAACATTGAGCTTCAGTATCTCAGATTCACACTGACTGATGACACAAGGTTAGAGCTTTAGTGGATTTCCCACCTGCTTCTGAACGGCGTATAAAGACACACAAAAAATCATTTTATCTCCACTGAAAGTAAATCAAAGGTTTTTCAAGAGTAGCATTAATCCCGTTTTCTTTCTTAAGTACTCAACATGCTTAATCGTTTTTAAAACATCTCTAGGCTGTTGAAAATGAGCCAGCTAGCTTTTGCAAGCCCGTTTACTGAAAGCCAAATTTAGTGCTGGTTATCCTTATAAATAATAAACACATGCAGTAAGACTTGATAAAATACAAGGCTAGCATATACTCTGTGACTTGGTCAGCTGTGTTTCCTATCATACCTGATTCACCTCTCCCTGCTGTGTGTGATTATTTATTCATGAGTGGAAGGCCGTTCATCCCCCCAGAAACCCTTACAGATGAAACTGGAGGTATTATTTATTCTCTTATCCATTGTAGAGAAACATGCTATAGGGCAAGATCCCATATACTGCATACTGTGCTGTTAGAGACAGCACATATGCATTTTTGAGATATTCAGTCCGCATTTGTGGTGCAGACTTTATTATCGCTCCCTCAGAATCCATTCACCGCGGCACACAAAGCTTTGATCTTCATTTTATTAAATTCTCTCTCCTTATTAAACAAGCTGTCTCGCTTTAGAGTAAATGCTTTTAAACTGTTTCTTTCGACTTTTCCTGTAGGTATATCACTGCAGCCGGCACCTCTTGTAAGCAGAAGTGAGTAATCACACAGAAAAACACCATCAAATGCAGCATTAATGACACTCTGGTGAGTGAAAAGGAGGCCCACCTGTAAATGATGCATGCGCTGTTTCGACAAGTGTCACAATTTGCTGTGTCTTGCCCTGTTCGGTAGGAGAGCCTGTGAACAGAGAGATGAAAAGATATATGTGATCTCCGGTGCCGTGCTTCAGCTCCGTACTCCAACACCTGTGGGCATCAGCTATCTGCCAGATTTGTTCAGCTCATTTTTTCACCCTGTGTTGTTAATTCCTCACAGTTAAGAATGCAGCAGGAGCTCTGATCTCTCCGAGCTCCCTCAGATTTGGTTAATAAAGTGTGCAGACTTGCTGACTTCACATAATGGGATTAGTTTCCTTTGCCATGACTTAGTTTTAAAATATGTTCTGTCTCTCTATTCTATAGGAAATAGGAATTAAGTAGCAGCTAAATGCCGCATGAGTCATGTATAATGAAAAATCGATGCTTTTACATTCTGTCCTGTACTGTACTTTCTTTTATTTCTCATCCAACTCAATTTGCTACAGACACAATGAGCATCAAGCATTCAAATAAGTGAATCAACAAGACAAATTGCAGCGGCTCTGTTTATAGCAGAGGAACACAGCCCCCGAGGGTCTGCTGTCTTTAAAGGTGTTGTAATTTGTTTTGTTAAAAGACCTCAGCAAAGGACCAACTTAAGCTGTCTCTTGGGACCAAACAGCGGCTTATATGTGTGTATGTCAAAGACGACACATTAATTAAACTCCAGTATTTGTTATTTGTTTCACTCCTTGTCTGTCTTTTTGCAGTTTTTTCCTGCACATTTCCTGCATCAGCTTACATAAACATGCAGGTGTGTGAGTTTTGTTATTCAGGCTATACGTCCCCGCATGCAGTGGCAGACTGCAGTACTCTGTGGATGATGGGAGGGGCCGTGTGAGCGCCTGCACATGTAATTGCTCGCTGTCATGGTTGCCCCTTGCTCTGTAAGTTGACATGCGGAGGGGTTGCACCTCGACTGTTCCCTGTGACATGAGAAGTGACCTCATTGAGGTGGGGGGGAAACAGAACAGCCTCAGTGCGGATCGAAAATGCTGATGGGAGCTCAAGGTCAGGGAGTTCATCCATCCTGCCCTGTTCTCAAATGAAGTCTCTTTGAACAGCTGTGAGCAAGGACAGTAACTCACTACACAGACAAGGTCTACGCTAGTGCTGCTGCTGCTGCTGCTGCTGCCTGGCTTTTCATGTACAACCTTTATAAAGCTTCGCTCTAATAATCAAAGGGTATTAACCTAAATTTATAATCACTGCGTATATGCAGCTCAAAAAAACACATCTTTTCCCATCCAGAGTATAACATTAGTGACCTGGTGTCCTGTAGAAGTCATGCATTAAAGAGGAGTAATTTCTAGACTCCTCATAGGGATATAAAATCTCAGAAAGACGTTCTCCAGGCTAAATGTTTGTTGGCAGAGATTTCAGTGCTGTTGTGTTGTTTGCCCACGTCAGCTGTCCTGGGATATGTCCTGCCCTGTGAGTCCTGCTTCACCATCCACACATACTTCCTGCCTACGTGACCATTTCTCTGCATGCCTTAGCGCTGATGTTACCGAGTATTATTTATTGATGACCTGTGAACAACAGCTATAGTCAGATCCTCCTATGTAACACATATATTCTGTGTATGTAGTGCACAGACACAGCAGAAGTCTAGATGTATACAGACAGTTTATCACTTTGACTGACTCTGTGGTGCAGTGTGTGTAATATTTTTATCATAGATATCAAGTTATGCTTTGTGTGCATAAAAAAGAACTCTTTTATTTTTGATTAATGACCATATGCATTTCATCAGTGCTTACACTGAGCATGGTCAAGTGTCACTAACCCAGTTTTGCGAACTCAAAACCTCTAGAGATGCGAAAGAGAGTTCATGAACTCCTGCTTTGTTTGTAGTTCCTTTTTGCTGCACTGTAGAGACAAGATTAGGACTTCTTCAGGACCAATTTTTATCACGTTTGAAACAGTTCAAGAGGGCTTGAGAGGGGAGGCGAGCAGAAATGAACAGGCCCTTGCACATTCATGAACATCAGGCTGTGGTGTATGGAGGGTTCAGAGCAGGTCACAGCGACCTGTAATAACAGTGTGTTGCAGCTTTACTGACTTTCGTTTAAAAGAAAAGTCGTAATGGCCCAGATTTTTTTCTTTGGCACTTATCTTGATTAAGTGACATTTACTTTGAATTCTACATAACCCTATTTAGTCATAAAACACAAGCTCCTCTCCCCCTGCTAGTATGTTGGGGTTATATAAAAAAGCAATAGAGAAATGAGGGAATATTCAGTAGGAGATTATAAACGTACATGTAAGGTTTGATGCAGATTGGTCCCTGTATGTTTTAGTTACGGTAACTTCCTGTTACATGGTGAGACATCAAACTTTGGCAGGTCTCCATAAGCCACCTTTTGGGTTTTATACACAAACTAAAACACGTTTTTCTTGAAATGTCTTCTGACTTCTGAGTGGATTGGACTTACTCCATAATATGCACAAGTGCGTACATTTGTTATACAGCTCTTTTTCAATGTAAACAGTCCAGTGGAGATAACTCTTACGCTTAAATACCGCTCAAAAATCATAATGGCCCGAAAGCTTACCTCGTCTTTTGTCAGAATATTCTTGCTATTATCAGTCGCTTAAGAAATCTCTGAACACTGTACACATATTCTGGATGGGAACAGGAAGCTGTTAGTTTGTTTTAAAGTGCAGTTCATAGAAGGCCATCTGACAGTCCAACCATACAATACAGGGAAGAGCAGACACAGAAGGCAGGCTTTGCATCCTTTAACTGCACCTCTCTAATAATGCAGATGGAACACAACAGAGTGGAGGCACTATAGCAGGCACACAGCTTTGTGCAGATGAAAGGCAAAGTGTTATGAGGCTGCACTAATTGGGCCTTTAAAACAAAGTTCCACAGAGCCACACGAGGGTGCCTTGTTCTCCACTGGATATGGATAAGACTTAAACACAATTTGCTTTGTGTTGCAGTGGGTTTTAGAGATGGGGCGCATTGAGTCTTACAATTGCACAATTGTTAGAGGCTGACTATGGAGACTTGGAGGCTTTAAAAAAAAAAGCATTTCCTTCTTTGCAGATATATATCCAAACCCTTTGAGGAGTTATTGGACTGAGGTTTGCTCTCACATTGAATCTTGAATTCTAAATGCACATGGAGGAAAAACTTAACATGCACTGTTGGTAAAAAAAAAAAAAAAAACATAAAAAAACTTTTTGGACATCAATCAGATAAACCTTTGGACAGCACTATGCTTATCAATAGCAATGCTAGCAGCATGGCTTCATAAAGATAATTTTCTGTGGAGTTGCTTGATATTTAACAGAATATTTTACAATAACTTTTTTACATCAATAATGCCATTTTAACAGTCAAAGACAACAAGTAAAAGTTGCCTTCATTTCCATTATAACAAGCTTTCAGGTAGTACATGATCTGCCATTGCATACAGATAAGTAGAGCGATGAGTGCAGCAGCAACAAGCTAAGGAGACTGTAGAAAAGGCAGCACTGGTGTTAGTGCTCTTAACAGTTTCAGAAGAGAATAACATGATCAGAATTTGGAGTGAGCACCAAGAGGAGGAAAAAACCTCTCAAGTTTTAAAATGAGGATGTTTGAAAGACCGAACAGTGGTAGCACCAAATGAGCAACATGTGAACCACAGACAGTTTAGCAGAGACAACGCAAAGCTAAAGCAGCTAATGGCAAATTAACTACTTTTAACACGCTTGATAATTGATTCTTTTATCAGAGCAGGGGACCTTTTATTTCTGTCATGGTGTGGAAATTAATGTAAGTCTGATACCTTCATTTATGTCCAGCTGGGACTTACTTTGTTTTTGCTGATTTTCACTATATGAATGCAAGCTGAGATGTAAAAGTGACTAAGTTGACATCTAACCTACTGAACTGTAACATGCGAGCATTTTTAGAGTGAAAATGTTCAACACATCCCATATCCAAGTTAGTCTAGCCAGAGAAAGAGTTGTTCTCCTGGTTATGATCTCTTGGGATGATAAAGGAAATTCCTAACCTTTTTAAGATTAGTAAATATTTTGTTATCATGTTATTGTCATGGCAACACTGTGTCTAAGAAGTTAGCATCCAAATTGAAAAAAGGGAAAACAGTGAAAAGAGAATGGATGAGGTTTGAAATAATATTATATCATATTATAGCTAAATTTATCTTTAAGACGTGCTAAAAGTCAAGCTGTAAATTACCAAAAAACCACTTAAAAATACCCAGCAGAGTTTAAAAGACCAACTTTGACAGAATTTGACATTTCATGGCTGTTAAATTTTTGTGCACACAGTTTTTCTCTGAGATGAAGGAATTTTCTATTTCTATTTTTCATTTTGACAGAGAAGTTAAAAATATGTGGCTGGTACGTCTTGGTATCCAGCTCTGTTGTTGCTGCTGTTTCCAGATCTTAGTAATTACATTACAGGATGCAGTGTTGTCGTAGCCAATAGAAAATATGGCAAAGGTACAAAAATAGGGCTCAGGCTCTAAGACATTGAATTACCCTTGAGCTTTTTTCCACACAGCACATTGTGTAATTGTGTAATGCTACAGTGTGTATTTATATGCTTGGTTGCTTGTGTTAAAATCTGCACCGTAAGGCTCTTTGTACTCACCCTTCTCTGTGTGCTTCACCTTTCTCCAGCTCCTGAATAACTCCAAGTAGGACCTTGATGGTCTCCTGGCTTGAGTTTATGAGGCTCTCCATGGCCTGCAGCTGTGCTTTGATATCCTTGTCTTCAGATAAGGGCATTATCTGCTGGCTGCTCCCCATGCCTGGGGCTACCGTGTCTCTTGGAGGAAAGCCCTCGTCACCCCCAACTGTTTGCTGGAGTTTAGAGGAAGCCGACACATGCCTTGTCCGACATTGCCCTTGTGACTGTACAGAACATTTGGCACTATGGGGGAGTGTCTGTGACTGCTGTTCATTAAGCAGTGTACCTTTTTTTCGTTTACAGCTCATAGAGGGGCTTCCTAATGAATCGACCTGCGTCAAAGAGTTCCACGCAACGGGGCCCGTTCCCTTTGACTTGTCCTGTGAAAACTCAGAGTTCGCCAGCTGGCGCTTTGAGGAGGTACCGGTGTCCTTGTCATCTTTGGGTAATCCTTTGTGTTTGGTCTGAGTCCCACAAACTCGGTACTCCGGTTCTCTTTTGGATGGAGGGCTACAGGGATGGCACTCCTCGGAGAAATGCGAAGAGTCTGGACAAGAGGGTCCGTCCACGCAGTTGGCACTGGAAAGCAAATCCTCTGTATCACTGCTGTCATCAGTGTGGTGGAGCAGTGCTTTTGTCTGCCCCACAATCTTCCCCTTGTACTTGGAGGACTCCCCAACAGGTTGTCCGTCCTCTCCCCCTGCCTTTATATCACTCAGAAAACCATTATTTTGTCCTTTGTAATCTTCCACCAAAGCAGTATGCTTGAAAGTATGTCCCTTTTTTCTCTCGAAAGGAAAAGTCTTGTATCTCTTAGTGAGGTCCGGTGATGTCTGGACACCAGTACTCTTGGTAACATTAGGAATAGAGCGTCTGGCAGGCATGGTCATATATTTTCTGTGTGTCACTTTACAGGAAATGGATCTGGCATGCCTCCCTCGAAACTCATTCTGAGCTTCACAGATATCCTTAAAACGCACTTGCAGGGCCTTGTTTCTCTTTTTCACCTGCTGCTTGCCTGATTCTTGTCCAGACTGGGTGTGAAGGCCTGCATCTGAATCTGAATCATCGGAATTTGTGAGAACTTCGCATTTGGTGTCCTCTTTGCTCACCATATTTTCTGAAAAGATAGAAGAGACAGAAATCAGTTTTTTGTATCACTCAGTGAAGGAATATGATCAATAATCACTTTATAGATGTGCTGCAGAAGAGGATTTGCTTCTTTTTATGACTGGGACTGGGATTTCATGATGTGTTCGCCCACTTTGAGCCTCTATTCAGGTCAAATTATGCGATCTCATGTCAAAAATTTACTGTCGAATAAAAACCTAAACAAATAGTGAAATGTGCTCAAAGTAAAATGCAGAAACTTTTAATCATTTATCTGTAAAACAAACTCTCCATTTCTGTTTGTGATATCACTTTTATCTCATCACACATATCATTAATGAGGCCTCTCAGTGGGGTTTCCTCTTTTTGTATTCCAGTTTCAGGAGTCTATTTTATTGGAAAGCTAAGTGTGATATTGACCAGGAACCCAGGACTCATCAGGAAAAAATTAATATCTGTATAATCACTGCTATCTACTCATGTGAATCATTGATTGCTAGGACAGATAGCTCTGAATGCACCAATGCCCATAACCCTTGATCAACTTATAGAGAAACAGCCAGTCATGAAAGCAAATAGTATCAGTAAGTTTAAAAAGCTTTGCTCCTGCATTTCTGAACAAAACATAGCACTATAATGCCTAAGTCAACCCAAACTGTATCCAAACTCAATTAATGTCAAATATAGGGCTAGGGTGGCCCCTCATGTTGTGGCACCAACATTTCCACAAAGGTCTGGAGACTTCAAAACAATAAACATGACGGGATATGTATCTGCTCCAATGAAGACACCAACTGAGTTTAAAACACATATCCTCAATGAAAGATAAGAGCTGGAAAGGAGCAAGGCCATATGCTAAAAGGAAATTAAATGGTCAGATATTGTGGAAGTACTATTAATTCCTGAAACCATCTAACAATCTATCAACATCTATCAAATATGCAAATATACAATCTGCAAAATTATGTGAACTGAGACAAACCTCACTTGAGATCGCATTCAGATTTACAACACCATCCTCTTTTTGCCTCCACAAATTACTGGCTCTGTTGCAGCGTTCATACTGTATGTCAGGATAGATGTCTGTACAGCATTATTGATAAATCCTTATTAATAGACCCAAATAAAGCAACATGTGAGCAACACCCAAACATTTAAATGAAGTGGTCTTTCAAAAACTGTATGCAAAAAAGGAAGCAGTACCGCAGCGACAGAGCCCAGGGGCTTGTTTCGACTGTGCATTGTGCATTAGTGTAAAAAGATCAGTTAATCTTTTTTTGCACCACAACTGACATGAAAGGCTGTAACAGTTTAAATTCACATTGCAGATGCGCTGGATGTCTGTGTTTTACTATTATACTTTGTAGTATAGCCACTTAGGTGAATATATGGGGTGTAACACCATCACTAGTGGGCCATTGCAGAACATAGTAAAGATCAGAACGCTTTTGCACAACCGAGAGCCTGGCACAGTGTGTATATTATGTGTTTTAGAGAAGACATTGCGTGCAATCTATATCCACATCAAGTAAGTGTTTACAGCATTTATTCCAATGATTAATTGAATTTAAAAGGTGTAGAAATTGAATCAAATCAGGACCTCGTGAATTCAAATCAGTTCAGGGAATCATTGGAGATTCTTGGCTCTAATCTGCTGCAAAGTGTTCTTTCGTGATCACACACAGTTAACAGTTTCATTAACAATTTCATGTTATGTCATTCATGGCTGTGGAGGTTTCTTTTGAAAAAAAAAGAAAAAAAAAGAAGCTAGTCGGCATTACTTTTCACCAAAAGGTTCATTCACAGAAATTTCAACTTTGGCTTTTCATCAAATACCAGTAAAACTGAAAAGCAGTCATTCATTTTCCCTACAGATTCAGCTCAGAGGGTTTAGACTCTCACTTTCACTCATTTTTTGTAACTACTCACTCCAACTTCTTCCTCCTGAGAAGTCTCCATACTTCCTGAACCATTTGTGCCTGAAATAACTCCTCCCACATATAGTCACAACTCCATACCTCACCTTCTTTTTCTGTTCTGCTCAGAGCTCTACTACTCGGCTTATTGCTTACTCTGCCAGCGTTTGCAAACATTAGTTATTTACTATAGTTCTTCTCACAGCAAAGCCTCCTGTTTGATCACTTCCTTTTGAACACTCTGTATTGTGTGGTTAATTATTGTGTTTGCATTGAGCCCTTTGCTTGCTACTTTCAGAAACAGTGTAATTTCACAACTGTCACCCTCAAATAGACACCTTAAAGCGAGACGACCATTTTACTTTGAGATCTTGGTGTCAAATTGTTAAACTCAGCACCTCCCACACCAAGTAGTTATTGTATCATGTATATAATGTCACATACTGTTACTGAGATGTTTTGGCGTAAATGCCAAGGCTGCTGGCTGCTTTCCAGTGAATGTCCTCATGAGTGCTTGATGGCCTCTTTTTTTATGGCTTTTGTTTTACAAATCGATCATGCCACATTCATGTTATTGATTTATGTAGTTATGAAATAGTCAGTCCCACAGTGTCCTAGGTGTTTTAGTTTGATCTAGTTTGGTGTTTTTTTTTTCTTTCCTTTGACTCGCGTCATTTTTTGGGTTTCCCCCCAGATAACTGCAAAATCAGGGTCATTCATGTACATTAGCTCAAGTGAATTAAACTCTACCGCTGCCTCTCCCACAGCCCATTAATTAAGCGTCAGCCGAAAGTCCCTTGCCGCACATATATGCATACATTTGCATTTTGTCCTCACAGATCACATCCAGCTGTACATTAAGGAAACATTCCGGCTCCAACAAATGGGTTGCTGCGACAGCTCGCTTTACTGTTCTTCATATCATAATTACATCTGAACTGCTGTGCTCCTGTTCTCTGCTCAGCTGTGATAGACTCAGTCACACTCGTCATCAACCTTAAGCTCACTGTATGAACACCCACTTATGCTCCTTATCAGCACCACACAACATTTTGTGAGATATATTTTGTAAGATTCTGCGCTTTGGTCACTTGACAATATTTTACCCACATCGGTTTGAGGTGTTTCGTTGCAGCAGTGGCGTGGTTGATGGTTTGCCCTCAGGTTGGAAGCGTTAACTGTTAGATATATTCCCCTTGGTCTGTGAGGCCTTAAAGAGGAAAGACCCACACACATACTCGACTCCTATACTCTTCATGATAGCTCGTACTTGGCCTCTTTACCTTTATCCACCTGTAAGCTCAGAGTCTCTGGAGAGAAAATTGATTATCATCATACCGTAATGTTTTCCATGCTGAGCTGAATGATGAGGTCAGAGACAAACAGCTGATACACTCTGTGACCACGTCGTAAATTTGTTATGTTAGCTGGCTGACCTTTTGACTCTAAAAATATCAACCCAATCAATCAATAGTTTTAATTCAGCACCAAATCATAATAAGAGTTTTCTCAAGACACAACACAAAAAATACAGAGATGAACTTCCAGGGATATTAGATACAGGGATATATAACTATTAATCCATCAAGAACAAGAAGCAACGACAACAAGAACAATAAAACACATAACCAGACTTTTTGGTAATACAGCCGCCCATTTCTTCTGAGCGGACAGAGAAAGTGGGATAGATGAGACAAAGGGGGAAAGACAAATAGAGACAGGAGATGTGCAGCATGAAGCCAGTCCAGCATACCTGGTCTTGCTTAAAGTAAGCTGGCTCAACAAAGTCTACGGCTCCAGTAGAGACAGTAGGTAAAACTCGAACTTTTCCCATTAACCCGGGCTTTCTGCTTCACACTCTGTGTGTGCTCATAAGAAAGGTGGCAATAAGTGTGTAATTTGATGCTTCTCCATCCCAAAAGACACCACCACTGGTAGTCTGCTTTAGCCAGACTGATGTATTAAGAAAAAAGATGTTGAATCTTTAAAATTCATTGCAAGAAAAATCAATACTGCTGCTGCAGAAAATTAAAGAGGGATTCTTCAGGAAATGATTATGTTGATTGGTAAATAAATGTATTCATTTTTAACCACATGACACACCCCTGTTGCCTTGTGTATTTTTAATGTGACAGCTGCACACGGTAGAAGACTTAAACTCAAACAAAGATTTACATAATTTCAGCAGTAGGCTATAGTTAGGAACAGCAACTGGGTCATATAGTTGCACCTTATGAGACTTTAAAGAAATATCTTTGAGTGTTTGACCAAAAAGAAGTAGAATCAATTTACTGATTCTGTGTTTTTGCTTCAAAACCAGTAGACGATTTTAAAATGGACTTTGCAAGGGAATAGCATCAAACATAAAAATGTAAGGAAGTGTCCTTACATGTGATGTTTTCCTTTTTTACTGTATGAATGATCTGCTGAATTCAAAATGTGAACTCTTTTAGAGGCAAACCGAGAAGTAGGGGACTGTAGGAGGTTCATATGCATATGTTTTACTCTGACTGTAGGGCGTCACTCAGGGTTTTATCAACACATCATAACATGTTCCTTCAAAACAGTTGATGATCTATGATGTCTGAAATGACGGCACCCTTACAGTTGATTTAAAGCTGAAACTCTGAATATTACCTGGTCCTGACCAGGCTGTGAGCTCAGAGTAAGTCACCGTATTGATTTAGCCAAGTAAAAACAGAGCCAGCTTCGTGACACAGTACAGTCAGGAGCTAGGCTCAACAGACTCTGCTCAGTCTCTAATCTTTCTCCGTGGGACATCCTCAGGGAAACATACCAGACAAACAAACAGCAACAAAAATATCAGCGGATATTTCTCAAATGGCTCTTGCACAATAGAAATGGAAACTTACATTGTTCCAAGTGTTTTAGTCAAAACTCTCAAGCCTGTTGTTAACAAAGAGGAGTTTGTGTCACAGTGTAGAAACCTAATTTGAAAGAATTGCTTGGAGAATTTGGGAGCGAAAAGTAATCAGCAGATCATTTATTAATCCTCAATGAAATTTAATTTTTTTGTGTTTCTAATTGTCGCACAACGATGAGCATAAATTGACGAATGATCCATCTTGGTTGACTTCTCTCATACTAATGATGTAGCAATAAACATTCGTCTCCTAGTTAGTAAGTTTTATGGTTCATTCATCATAATCAACGCCATCATTATTGATGTCATTATTTGAAAATCCTTTCTTCATTTGCTCTTTCATACACACATTTTCAACATGCATTGCTTGATCGATTATGTAATAAATCCCAAACCGCTCTGAACACACGAAGGAGGTTAAAATCACTTTCAAAGTATGCCAAAGCGCTGCCTGTTTGGAGTCAGCCGTAATGCTGAGTTTTAAATTAGGGTGCATAAGATGAAATGAGAAATACTGCAATTTCTGTCTCATCCACGATGAAACAAATTTCATAGCTAGAGCATGAAATATATCAAGCAGCTCGAGGAAATGAAATGATGTCTGATATGGTTGAAAGGAAACGTCAGAAAGAGCTGGTTAATCATTTTCATATGACAAGACACCATGCGATAAATAAACTCCAATGAATCATTTATTAGAACACAAAAATCAAGCTATTCAGGGTGTCGCAGCTTCTCTGAAAGTAATCATGTTTTATCAGTCAGAGACACTGTAAATCCATCAATGTAATTGTTCTAGTGGGGAAATTTATACTGACGAGACATTTCCTTACCGTCAGCTTCATGGTCCCCAAGAAATTTGTAAAAGGAAATCATGGGTAGATTAGATTAATGTTAATTCATGATCAGCGGCTGATCTGCAGCCGCAGTGTGTGAGAGTTCCTGTGATGCAATTGATGAATATGTAATATAAGTGAAGATTATACTCTTTCTAATGGGGATGTGCAAAGTATCATTTAACCGTCACATATACAGCTGTCAGATAGTCAGATTGCAGGGTGTGCAATATTAAGCAGATGATCTGACACCGGTTGTGCTGCTTCATTTTTGATGCCTAATGCAAACAGAAATTCTCCAGTGTCTTGCATTTGATGACAATTGTACAAGGAAAATCTGTCTGAATAGAATTACTGGGCCTCTTTAGCGCACACAGAGAACTGACTGCTGTGCATGTACTTCAGCAAACATCAGACTGCAGAGCGAGCTGCTGTCCTCACAGGTAATCTTGGCAGGATGATCATGCATCACTCTTTGTTTCCTCGCTCGACCATACTGTGATGTCAGCTATGTCGAGAACAGAAATACAATCACTCAACCAACCAATCCTTATTTATTTTTGAAGTGATGTCTCTGGTCTTATTATTTACAGACCCAGTATCATGATAGGATAAGAGTCAATCCCACCTAATAGGACAAGGCCCAGTCTTATCCCATCTTAATCCACCATGAGCAGAGCACTTAGCAGCATCTGGAAAGTTACAGTGGCAAGGCAAAACTTCCCACAGAGAGGCAGATACCTCGAGCAGATCTAGACTCACGTTAGACAGTCATCTCGACCAGGATTGAATAGAGGGAGATGCAGAAAGAGAGAAATGGATAGAGACAAAAACAACAGCTTTTACTGGCTTTTGGTTACAGTGCCAATAACAACGTCAAAGTATTCATAATTTTAAAGTATTTTTACTCTTCTCTGCTCAGTCAGCTACAAACTAAAACATAATGTCTGCCTTTATTGAATGCAAAAGAACTTGACAAAATGTCAGTGTTTTCCGACCTCTGAATGAGGAGATTTAGTGTTCATGGCTGTGAAGATGTATAGGCACAGCAGAGATACACGCAGCAGGCAGGACTAGTCACAACTTCAGCAGCAAACAATCCCAATCTAGCATGCTCCTGCACGTTTGCACTGAGGTGTGGACAAGATAAGTTCTGTAGGACCTGACTAATGAGAAGAAATCTCTCCTCACTTTATCGGTCCATCAACCACCACTGCTCACTCTCTTACCTTCTTTCATTTGTAGAAGCTACAACTCTCAACCATAATAAGTTAAAGGCCCACTCTGATGCAAATCATGTTTTTCTAGTTGTCTACATGTTCATATAGTATTTTTCTGATGCTAGAGGACACATCATTAGAAAACTAAGTGCACAATTACATTTCTGAGAATTTCTGCATTCAAATTGCTGTGAACCTCTGGCTGACCCAAATGGCAGGTTCCGACACAGTGGGATTTCCTATGTCACAAATCCAAGCCCCACCCCCAAAGCTCCGTTCTGCAGGCCAGACTCAGAGAAGTAGAGAGGACGATCATGGAACAAGTGTGTGCGGTAGTGGATTGCAATACTCATAAGAAAGCTAATTGTGAGATAAGCTTTCATCATGTCCCCAAAGACATTAGTGTTCGAGAGCTGAATATATTACCTGCTACTTCAGCTGCACCGGCAATGTTAGGCTGCAAACTAGCGTGAGGAGGAGTGTGAAGAGCAGTGTTGTCATGGGGTTCTCTCTCAAGCAATAAAAGAACAGTGGAAAAGACAGGCGCAGTTGAAAAGTACGGTGATGGTGAAATTCATGTATAGCTGGCTTCTCAAGGTGCAGTGCAAAAATATTTACAAAAAAGATGCAAAAATGGTCAAAATACTGTTTACAACAATGTTCAAGGCAAAAATAAAACAATCCCAACAAGGTTAGAGTTCTTCAATAACTCGCAATTCAGCGACACAGCAGCAATACAAAAAAATCAGTTCAGTCATTACCTTCTTTGCCACCAGCTCCACGCTCCAAAAAACGCCAAGGCAGCCTTCTTTTAAACCCACCTAGCCCCTCCCCGGGCACATCCATACACAAAGTATAGGGGTTTAAGATACCATATGTAAAGTACAACACAAAATCCTCAATAAATCAGAAATTTCACCATAGACTAAAAGGCACTAATTACCCTCCATACAATTATAAGCCTTACCCCTTGAAAATACAATAAATCAGACAAAATATCACAAATGAACTATACTGGTATGGTCCGGCGGTCATATGACCCCCAACAGCGCGCCACCTCGCGCTATTTACCGATGGATCCGGAAGTACCCCGGTTTGATTGTAAGATGGCAGCAAGGAAGTGGGTGTCTGCGTGTGTGTGTCGTGTAGTTGTGGTGTTGCACCCTCAAACGCTTACAGCGTGGAGATAAGTGTCCAGATAACAAGGGAAACGGCTGATTGGAGTGCAGGACTGCGGGACACAGGTGCGGGGAAACAGTTAACAGTTTGACGGAGCTTGGCTCGCGGGCAACGAGAGCGCTCCCGGCACCGAGAGCGAGACCCGCGCCAGTCGGGAATGACGGCGCGTAATGGCGCTCCGATCTCCGCCCACGATTCGAAGGCGAACTACGAATGAGCTACTGGAGTTCTGCGGGAGAAAAGCCCTAAAAAATGACTCAGGTAAGGAGATTTTTGGCTAAAAAAACTAAATGATCACAACTTAAAGACCCCTGATAACACTCTAAATAGTTTTTTAAAAAGTCGATTGGAGTGGGACTTTTTTGGAAGTGAAATATGTTTGGTTTTGCCTTAAAAAAACAAATATTTTAATGTAAATATATACTTATATTATACTTAGGCTTTTAGAGCCAGCCTCAAGTGGACTCTCAATGAACTGCATTTGGTTGCATTTCTGCATGAGCTTTGCATTTTAGCAGCAGGGGTTGCAGCTTTGTTTGCACTTGTTTGCCAACAGAAGCTTGACTGAATATTTTTTGTCTCCAACATTGTATTGTTTCATATGCCCTTATGCAGAGGATAGGATAGGACAGTAGATGGATTAGGATGTTGGAAAGAGGGAGTGGAGGCTGTGGATCAGATTCACACCTGGTCCCAGTCTTCCAGAGCGAACCTTTATACATGAGATGTGATTTAACCACCGGACTACACCGGTGCATGTTGGTTTGTCTCCATGGCATAGATGATGTTCATCTTGTGTGTGTTACAGGGTTATTTTTTCCAGACGTTGGTGCGTGTATATTTTGCTGAGGTTATTTACAGTGTTTATGGAGTGTGAGCAGGAACAAGGAGGACTGATAGTAAAAGCAGAAGATTGTATTTTTCGGGAGTCCCGTGTGTTTCACCTTGCAGGGTGTCCACTGTAAGATACCAGCCTCAGCTCAGCTCAGCTCAGACTGTTGATAAAACTGAATTAATGTAGAGGCAGCCGTGTTTCATCTTGCTTCCAATTAATGCTCAAATGACACAAATACTAAACTGCATGCCAACGGCTTCTGGTGTCACTTCAGTGGCTGCTCTGCATTCAGTGCCAGATGAGAATAAAAAAAACAAAACAAAACAGGCAAGTCGCTCAATCTCATTATACGTGAACAATATGGTGTGCTGTGTCATGAATTTACACACAGTTGTTTGGGAATTCGGAGCAGCGGCGTTTTATTGGGGGTGGTATTTGTTCTGAAACATAGCTTAGTGTGCACTTTGATTTAGCGTAAGTTGTTTGTCGGAAGCGGTTGCACGGATAAAAAGAATTGGTTTGAGGCTGATTCACACAGGATCACACTATTTCACACTCAGAAATAGCAATCTCACACCAGTGAAAAGGTAATCACATCTGCAGGAAGTCTCCTTCTAAGCGCATACAATTTCTCATGCAGCCATGTAAGGCATGTATAGCAGCTAAATGGTAATTCACACAAAGGGAATCAAGAAAAGCTCCTCAATGACTCGTTAGAAGTCAGAGAGTGAGAGCGAAAGCCTGATGCGACACACGGATATATTCAGATAGTTGAGAGAGAATCTCCTTCTGCCTTGTCGTCTCCTTTCTCCTCCTCCTCCTCTTCTCAAAAGCAAGCTATATCTCTGCTAATGACCTGAGGTCCTTCCCTGATTTGGCCTCAGCTATCCAAAGGATTATGAATAATGCATTGACTCTAAAATTGCAAAAGTAATCCTCTGAAATCTCCTTATGTACCCTGGCAGACCACGTTGTCTGTTCCAATTGCCCTTCAGTTCTTCACGCTGAAAATGCACGAGCAAAAAAAAAAAAAAAAAAAGGAGGAAATCACTGTTAGCTACACTGTCATGATTGATTTATTATGACCACAATGTTGTAGAAATGTGGCTGTTTGTAAAGAATGTTAATAGAGGGGTTGGATCCATTTTCCTTGCAATAGTGAGTCCACAACACTGCTGACTCATGATTTATGCCCCTCGCATAGCAGGGAGGAAAGAGATGGCTTTGCTCGGATTGCCTTACATCCTTGTCAGCCCGCGTCAACGCCATAATTACCGAAGTGCATCTGCAGGATATTTACATAGGATAACACTGTCTCGCCACTCTCATTAATGCTTAAGTAATGTTATTATGGCGTCCTCCCACTCCTCAAACACAGTTATCTCCACTGCACCATCAATACAAAGTGACTGCATCATAAACATGGGATGCTGTGCAATTGCAACAGCTCATTATTTTAGTAGTGTGTGCTTAACTAAGGGTGTGCTGCAGGGTCAGGATAGCCAGGCTGATGCTGTGCTCATCATGCATCCTCCAAGGCATTGTGGACATGCATGACATCCTTCTTTAGCATTTTTTTGTCGCAAATGTGCTCCAGAAAGCTGTCAAGACTGAGATTTCTTTTCTTTTTTTGTCCTGTTGAAGTTTTGTAAGTGTTTTAAAGCAATCTGCACTCCTACAGCACAGAACAAGTTCAGCCCCCTACACACCCCAGATTGCAGTTATCATTTTCTCCAACACCATCAATGCTCTCCCTTTCCTCCTGACTGTAAACCCTCGCCAGTCAGAGATTTTTATATTGTCTCTTCTTCAGTTCTTGAAAACAATCCAAAGCAGTTTCATGAGCTTTACTTAATGCGCACACACACATAACACACACACACACCTTTTTTTTTACCCAGCTGTCGTCCACAGCTATCTGTATTCATTCATGGCTTCCGGCTACACCTGTGAAAGTTTGCTATACGACATTGACTTAAAAGATTTATCACTGAGCGGCACTTACTGTTATGTGGAAGAGTTAGAGGTTTTTAAAGAGCTCCATTCCTCTGTATCTCCTCCATGAGAGCAGTGGCTGTGAAATGGATCTTTGGGATGAGTAAGTTTGGAGAGGCTGATATGCAGACGGGCATTTAGATTTTTTTTTGATCACATGCTGTCCTGCCAGAGTGTGTCGCTTTTTTTTAATATAAAATAATGGAGTAGACAGACAGGCTCAGCCTTCAACACTCCAGAGATTACATCCATAGTGCATCACCCTGATGAGTTCATTGATTAATAAGGGGTTGGGCGACTGGCATACATGTGTACTCAGGTTTTACTGATGATTAACCAAGGTGTAATGTAGGACATGATATCTACAATAGGTGAGAGGGTGCTGGAATGGACACGCTACAGTGTGTTTGGCACCTTTGAGCTGTGCCCTGTGTGTGTTTCCTGTAAATTCAGGTAGTCAAGAGATGACGTGTTGAAAAAAGAAGGACAGAGAGAGAGAGAGAGGAGAGAGAGAGGAAGGGAGAGAGCAATATAAGTGCAGCTCTCTATGTGATGCAGCACTCCAGAGCTTCTCACATCGCACATGTCATTAGTCATGAGAAGTCCAAAATCCACCGCTCATCAAATTCAGCCTTGAGGAGCACATCAGCCCCTCTGCATACGAATTTGTCACACAGTCTACGCCACTTTATGCGCAAGGTGTTTACCAATAATTTACCATCATTCCGACAGCCGCTATATACAACAGTCCATTAGTGATCGCTCATCAATATTCCTCACTATCAAGCCTGGACAATTCACAAGTACAGCAATCTTTTAAAATCAGCCCTCTGCCTCATCTGAGAGACACTGCATGACTGTCACCGGCTGCACAGGCACGCATTATGATGAAGTGTATAAATCAAAGTCAAATTGCATCATCTCTTTAACAAATTGCAAAATAAAATCCTGGACGTGTCCTCCTGATTAGGTATTAAACCCTTCAGTGCTCAGATGCAGAAATGCCCCCTCCCTGACATATCCATATCTTATGCATTGCATGCAGGGATCATACACACGCATCACTTACTCAAAGACTTTTGATAGTATTTATTCAGATTTCATGCGAGCTCCAGACTGATTGAAATAGGATTTTAAAAGGGCAAATCAGATGGATCCCTGACTTTCACTGCAATACCTGTGCGTAACTCCAAAAAATAGGGAGCATACTTCTTACCTTGAGAAACAGATCAGAGGTGCAAAGGACAAGAAAGCGCAGATCCCCTGTAGAGCCAGTGTTCATCCATGTATTCAGTGGGCGCCAGGGGACCATCCAGCCACAGGAGCAGCACTCACAGGCTGCAGGAGGACAGAGTGAGAGGCAGCCGGTGCGGTGACAGCTGGAGGAGTTGTGACACATCCGGCAAAAGATTCAGGTTATCAGGATGGGGGAAAAGCAGACAGACATTGCCTCAAAACCTCATCAGGTTCTTATTGATACCCCCCTTCTGCTTTGTACTCCCCCCCCTAAACCTCATTCAATGCATAACTGACACTCATTCGCTCTCGTCCCCTGCACTCACCGGGAATAGGCACTCACACATGCAGGGGAGATCTCCATCTCGCGGTGCTGCTGCTACTGCTGCTGTTGCTGCAATCCCTGTGCGTTCGTGATTGAGTGTATGTGTGTATGTGTGTGTAAGAGAGAGGCAGGGAGAGGGTGGGCTGGTGGGTGGATGGGTGGGTGGATATGGCAAAGAGAGGACGGATGAGGAGGAGGAGGAGAAAGAGGAGGAAGGGGAGGAGGAGTGAGGGGTAGTACGCAAGCTGCCGGGGAAAGTCCAGAGTCGCCGAGCTGCATCATCGGAGAAAGAAGACCCCTACAACTTGTCCTCCACGGGCTGGCTGGCTGAGTTGACACAGAGCTGTTATATAATCTGAAGGGCTTCTGCAGACAGGGAGCTGTGAAATAATCATGCATTGTGCTTTTAATTGGATGTCTCCTACCCCCTGTTACTTTCATACGTCTTGCACATTGTTTATGAGAGGTGATGAAGGAGGATGAATAGAGCAAAGGAAAAGAGGAATGTGTGTGGCTGCACATGCAGGGCGGCAAAGAGCCAATAGGGCAGCAGTTTTAATGAGAATCTGAGGCGAGAGAGAAAATGAAATGACGAGAGGGAGTAAAAGAGAGTATTAGAGGTGGAGGAGAGGGGCAGAGGAATGGACTTCACTGGAAACTGAGGTTATTGATTTTGCCAGTGTCTTTTATTTTATTGATTTCTTCAAATATCTTTGAAGTGTATGGCCGAGTGATGTATGAAATGCTGTTGTTACAGGGCATTGACATACCAGGAATGCAACCCTAGAAATACATGTTTTTAGGAGGGGGGTGACATTAAAATTTGACAACATCTTAGAAATATGTGAAGACAAAATTAAATTGGACAAATAAAAGGGGATTCCAGTTTAAATATCTTTAATACCCCAATATACAGTGTGAGAAGGGGCTAGTGTCACAAATATGATGATCATCAGTCACTTAAGCAGAGATGTATGTTTCATGTGTTGATTTTTGTGACCTAATTATTGTTTTTGCACATATTTTTCAACTTTTACAGCTTGGTTGTTTGTTTTTGCCACTTGTGGTATTTTTGTTAAAAAGTTGATATTACTACAAATAAGAAAAACACTGTTGGACTCAACAGTTTGTTTTTGACTTGAAAATAAAACGTCCTGCTGAAGTAACAGTCAGACTTTTTCTTTATTCGAATAATGATCTGATTTTTGATTATTTTTACAAAGTAAGAGGTTAGTGAAAAAAAACAAAGATTCAGAACTCAAAGTTTTTCAGTATGTATTTAAATTCTTACAACCAGCTCCATTTTTGGCAGGTAAAGTTGAGGATTCTGCATATAAGATATAACAAGGAGTCAGCAGACTAGATCTGTGTCCTACTGGACCGACTCTGCACAAGTTCTGTCTTACTCTGAAGTGGAAATTTCACCAAAAACAAACTCAAAAATGCTCTAAATTGTTACATAAGTTGTGCCATCAGACTCTTACACACTACCATTTTAAGGTGGGATATTTCCACCCCTTCTACGCCCCAACTCGGGGTGTGTAATGGCGTCTCTGATCCTCCGTTGGAGTTAGTAACAGAGGCAAAATCTGAGCGAGATGGTTGCAATGTGGAGCGTTGCAGCTGGCAGGGCGGAACAGCTCAGCCTATATGTGCATGTCTTAGTGTGTGTATGTTTGGCTTAGTTTATTATTTAGTGTGTCAGGGACCATTTACAAGTGCATTCATCTTAATTAATGAGACAAGATGCATTGCACCATTTTTAGCCGGGTAGCTAGATCCCAGCTGCTGTCATCGGTGTGCTCTCGCTATGTTTTTATAAATCATGCCTCTCATACTTCAAAAATACCTTAATGCAAGATGAAATCACACCAACACTACACCACAGCACAGTTCTGTATGTACGTACAAAGTCATAGTGGTGGTGGCTGTATTCACCCTGATAGAAAACAACACTATGAAAAGACTAGTATTGCATGGTTGCACTACAGAGATGTAAGAGTCATCTTTTTCTAGAAGTGGATAGCTTCCAGAATAACATTGCAGATGTGACATTTCACTGTCTGACTGGCAGCAACACAACAGTATGCAAAACATGACAAAGCATTTTGAAAAGGAGCTAATATATGGTTAATCTGGATCTACCGCCATTGATGCAACCCCTTAAATGCAAACTCAGTCCTAAACTGGAAACTACCATAAAACTAGGTTATGCTGAACTAGTGCAGACCCAGTCCTAAACTTGAATTAAACCTAACTTTTTCCATTCTCATGTCTCCATTATTAATTATCCTGCAGACTTTATATTATAGGGTGACCATACGACCTCTTTTACCCGGATATGTCCTCTTTTTTGGGGGCTGTCCATGCTCGTCCAGCTTTGTCCCAGGAAGTTTATAAAATCCTTCGAATGTCTGCAGTTTTGTACGGAAAATTCGAGTTTGTGTCACGTGGACTCACTGTGTTAGAAGCACCTAAAAGACTCTCGATCTGATGTGAAAAACTCCCAAAATTAACTATGTGCAACTGCGTGACAGAATATAGTCACCCTATTATATTAACTCCTTTAGCATACAGTATTAAGTACATGTATTATAAACCTTAAAAGCTCAAACAGTGAAAACATTGGAGAACTGTTGGTAAACTCAGTAAAGTTATACTCACTTTTAATTTCCCGGGTAGTTGCACAGCTTCGTTGTTTGACACTGCGCTTTGTTAGCTTGCCCCTGAGATGGAAACTTATAGACAATAGTTTGCCAATGTACCTGTCACAGTAAAAGTCCATTCAATTGCAAATACTGGCTCAGTCATTAACTGGAGAAGGGAGATCATAGAGCTCTGAGACCTTGAGGTGTTCAGTAATCAGGCCTGTTTTTTCAGGCACTCTCTGTTCCATTTTGTGTCCATTAACCGTGATTAACTTCGGAGTTATAAGTTGAAGATGACTCTACCACAAGACCAAAGCTTTCTTTGCTTTTGTAAGAGACCTGAAGCTGATTATGAGGAAACACGTTCTTTTCTAAATGAGGTTTTTCTTCTCGAGCGGTGTTGTGGAGCGGTAGCAAGTGCAGCGATCTGCTGACTGTTATTGATTTAATTGTTTGTCCTCCTCTAGGCCTTGCCTGTTCATGGGTCTATGACAAGCTTATGACTGTGCCCACCATGTGCATACTGATCCAGTACAACACAAACCGCGGCCCCCCATTTCAGTGTCAACACCGGCATAATCTCACTGTGCTTAATGAGTGGAACAACAGACTTGACAAGTGGGTTAAATCCCCTCCCTCTGACACTTTCCTCAATCCCTTCATGACGATGCCGTTTATTGACCTGCCAAAGGCTGAGTTGGGAGTGTCCAGATTTATGCAAAAAGAAGCCCTCATAGCTCGCTGATGACTGTCAGCTTAACCATCCATTATGCTTGGATCCCTGAGGACAGCTTGAGCCTCTGGGCCACTGTACATGCAGAGACTATAAAGTGGTCATACTTCATTGAAACTGAACGAAAGCTCAGGAAAGTGAGAATTTGTGAACGGGAAAAACAGCAGATGTTGCATAAAAGATTCAGGGAAAAATGCTCGAGTTCTGACACGAAACACTATTCTTTTTCTTCTGGTTGATTTTCCGCAGTCTCCGCCGAGTTCCTGGAAGTCTCAAAGGTGAGGAAAGTGTGCACTGTCAAATGATTCTCTCAGATCCGCAGAGCATCCCTAGGTGAAAAAGAAATGTTTGCATTAGCATATGAAACAGCCAAAGTAGTAAACATACATTTTTATCTTTTATCTAAATTATTCATGAGTATTTTCCCACTGTATGCAGCAAGCACATGGGAATGGGAACAAGTGAGATGACTGGATATAGCCATAGATTATCAAGAACTTTCTCACTGTGAGAGGGAGCCTGACAAATTGTGAGTGAGAAAAAGTTTGTGGAGAGTGATTCAGGGCCTGGGGGACGAGTTGAAAAGCAATGTACAAACACTTATGCCTCAAAGATATTAAGAGTGGCAAGGTCAGTTGCTGGGCCGGCCGGTCAGCCTACCACTTTGTTATAGCCTGAAATACATCAAAAACTATTAGATCAATTGTCATAAAGGTTTGTGCAGATGTCCCCAAAGGATGTGTCTTTATGACTTTAGTGACCTCCTTTCTTTCCTCTGCATCTAAAGGCAGTTCAGCGGCTACTTTTTCTCTGAGTATCTGTGTGTTTTCTGGACTAGCTGAAAACTATTGTAGGATGTAGACAGTGAGACGCTGATCCTAATGCTCCACTGTCATGACCCTGTGGTTTTTCTTCTATTGCACCATGTTCAAACTGACATCATACACCAACCCCAACTCTGAATAAATCTGAATAAATTTTACAGCCCAAATATTTTTAACTTGGATCAAATTCGTGCCAACCTGATATTCCTGTCATCCTCATGCTGGTTTTTTTCCTGTACGTAAAACTACACGACAGCAGCCACCTTTGCTAAAGTTTGTACAGTTCCTGGTCGTCATCAGAGTCTGAGGGGTGAATTTCACAAAGACACACAAGACCAGCACTTGGTACATTTGTCATTTTTGGCTACGGTGAGAGCGTTATGTTGATAAAGTGGTGCTTTTTCAGAAGCAGTCCAGCGCTGCCAAAGAGGAAAAGGAGAGCAACTACTGTATGTCTTCTTCACAGGAGAAGGTATTTTGTGTCTGAAAATGTAAATGTGATAGGTAGTCACCAAATGCACATTAAGCTGTAGTGGGAATTTTTATATGACACGACTGTCACCATTTGTTTCTGTTAAAAAAGACTCCAGACTGCAGTAGTTTCTATACTAACTCTAACTGATAAACCAGGGAAACACCAGACTACATGACTGATGGTCAGGTTTCCTTTTCACGTCTACGCTTACATCCATATTCATTTGTCTCTATGTTTGTGGCTCTCTTTTTTTCTGGCATTGTCAGTAGACAGTACAATTAATTATTATTTGTTTACTTTTACTAATTTACTATCCAGTACCCTAATACATACTGATAATAAATTAGGAAAACAAAGTAAAACTTGTCCTTACCACAGAAAGTCAATATACAGGCTCTATTGTGAAATTGTAGTATTACTAGAATTCCTGAAATACAATGTAAATTGTGTTTTATTGGGCCAGCATAAATGGTGTTGTGTTTCACTCCTGAGTTAAAACCCCGGTGCTGAATGATATGTGCAGTAGAAATCAAAAAATATGTCCCTTG